AAATGCATGTGATTGTTGCATCACAAGGACTCAATGCTTAATGAATGAATGAGTGGTGAGATTTGGTGTAAGTGGGCTTCCAGTGTCTCTTTAGCCTATACAAAATGCTATCAACAAATCCTCAAAATGAAACGACAAAATACATTTGACGCTGTTGCTGTTTCTCTCCGCACAGGATGCAGCGTCCAGTCAGAATAGCGGTAAAGGAAAACAAGATGGACTGTCTGTAGTCTGACATCAGACTAAAGTCTCCAAGTCCCATGTTTTATAGTCGCCCCGTAATAACCTGATGATACTACAAGGTAACCAGTAACCAGGTGTTTTTATTGGTAAGATCCCCACTGTGCTCTCGTCTGTGGTCTGCTCACGGGTTTTGTGTGGTGAATAACAATGACCCCGAAGGACAATTGATAGGCCGACGTGACTGACAAGAATAACTTAACTGACATGAAATATATTTCTCAGCATTTGTAGTGGTGAGCGTTTCCCTTGATCACAGTTGATATCTGATTACCAAGTTCTCTCACCATCTCCAGAGGCTCTAAAGATGGTGCACACCCTGTTCCATATGAATGACGCTCACTCAGAGATGATGAGGCATAAATACTGCGTGCTGGCACCACAGGAGGAACTCGGGGAAATGCTAATTTTGCTGTGTGTGTGTGTGTGTGTGTGTGCCAGTTGAGTGGGCAGTTGTGCATAAAAGCCATGCAAATCCGAGCAGCTGTGCTGCTTGCTTCGTTCATCAGCCAGTCCCTTCTTTTCATGCTTTTCATTTTTCCCCGGCTGCTTGTGTGACCGGTCCTTTGTTTAGGTCCGATTAAATGTGACCGATGGAGGCGAGGGCCTGATGGACCAGCGGATCAGCAGGACAGAATAACCTTCTCTGGTTTAAGGGGCTATTATAACTATTGATATTAAAAAGGAATAGCTGATTTTGGCCTGTAATTAAAAAAAGGATCCGAGCCGGTGAGAATGGTGCCTGTAGTCCATAAATCCTGCAGTTAGAAGACTGAACAAACTGAATGCTCACTGCCTGAAATAATTATTGTGTTTGAGGATTTTATTATGGTTTGATTTCCTCTTCCAGACTTTGAGATGCAGCATGGGGAGCACGGAATTCTTGTGTTTGGCAATCATCCTTAAATAATCCTGCATTGACAAAAAGATTGGTTGTTTGTTTTTTTCCCCAAGTTTGGGACATTTTTATTAAAACATCTCCCTCTTTTTTAAAAATGCATACTAGTCTGACTGCAATTTCTATTTAGTAATTCTTATGAAAACAAGATCTAACTCCATGTGTTTCTTTAATGGGCTGGAAAAGCTAAAGCTTTTTGTAGCCAGCGGCTGCAGCTCAGTGTTGATCTCGATCGTAACGGTCTCTATGGCCCTAAAATCAACTTTTGATGATCGCCAAGATGCAAAGGGCAGTGTTCAGAGTGCCGGGCAACAGATCAAACCGAGAACCAACACTGATGTATACATACTGCCTCAGCATGGGACTGTAGATGTTCATAGTTTGTTATTAATAATAATGCGCATTCGCAGAGGGAGAGGGGTCAAGGCTGAGATTGGCTGATCCGTTGACATTTACTGAGTGTGGTAGCTGTATACTACCTTGCCGTGTATTTCCGAGGTTGGTTTTTAGTAACTATGAACTGTGCAAGTCAGCGGTCTTAAGCAGAACAACACACCGCCAAGAGACGAGCTGGTGGTTCCGTCTCGCTGCTCAGAGACAAAAGACCAGACCGAGAAACGTATCCAATGGAATTTTATGGAAGTAGCCGCAAGATTATTTTCTTGCCTTTCAATATATGTGATCCCAGTCAGAATAAGGCTGACACTCTCGCTATAGTGATGCATTCAAGCTCCAATCAGCGCAAATGAGTATTTGCCAGTGGGTAAATTATAAGGTTATTATGGTGTGTTCAAATGTGCCTCATCAGTTGAAATGCTTGCAAGTATTGGACTACATTACACTTTATCACACAGATTTTTTTATATTTTGCAATTATCAGTAAATGTTTTTAAAACTATAATCAGTCTCTTGGGTTAGGTACCGTCACCATGACAAATTATTTTGAGCCAAATCGAGATGATACTTAAGGTTAACTGCCCCCTAAAAGGTGTTTCACAACATAAAACATTGTTAGTTTTTTTTTTTTTTTTTTTTTTTTAAAGGGACAGACAATGAAGTTACTCCGTCCACGGGGGCATCTGATCAAAACACATCTCAATTTGTAGCTATAGAAGAAGCGGACAGATGAAGTATAGTGTTGTTTAAGGACCAGTTTTCTCAATCAATCATGAAACCGAAAACACTGAAATGTCCTTTCAATATGCCATAATGCTTGAAAAAGCAGCAAATAATCCTATTTAAGAGGCTTGACCCATCAAAATATGTATTGCTTTTCTTTGAAAATCATCCTAAATTGATGATCAAAATAATCACTTTTAAGTGAGCGATTGGAAAACAAATGTGTCCCTCTGTATTTCTTGTTAGAAAAGCCTCAGATCTTACTGGTTAAAACCTCATACGAATTTCAAAAAACATCATCGCAGATTGTCCCTCAATCACATTGACTGATTGCTCGCTGATTACAACAATCAGTTGATTGCTTTCCGTCCAGCTGAGCGAGGAGGAGCACCACAGTTAAAATATTCCGTTTTACAGCTTATGATAAGTTGGGATGAAAGAGAATAATACGAGGAAAACAAAGGCACCGAGCCTTTGCTTCCCCCATAAAGGCGAGCCCTCTGCCTCAACATCTCTCTAGTTATGCATCAACACGGTTTTTCTGAACACAAATCACTGCCGGTCGGCAAGGTCAGACGCTGGTATTGACTAAACCAGTAGGCTTCCTGCTCTCTGCTGAATATACACTAGTGCTTTAAGGAGGCCAAGGGAGGTAAGGAAAGACATCAGCACCAAAATAAATGAACAACGAGTTGGTGAAACGTTTTCTTTTATTTGGCTTCCAGGCCGTTCTGTGTTTTGTTTTTTTTCATCCCGGTAACTAAAGGATTTCAATTTGTTTTTTTAGCCACGGACGCCTGTTTGCGCACAACTGCACGATGATGGAGACGAATGAAAGCCTGGTTAAGAGTGAAAAGGATTCACTAATGGAGCCAAATGGAATCATTTGTTTGCCCTCTACAGCCCACTCGCTCCTCTGACTGTGATTGTCTCCGCTGCAAACTAGTTGGGAGATGGCAGCTGTTGAAAGAAATTCATATTCAAATGAGGCTTCTACGCTTTTCTCTGGTTTATTGTATTGATTCCTTTCCCTCTGTGTATATTGTTATTATTTCTGCAATATATTTAATTATGTAAACAATTGCTCATGTGAAGCATAGAAGTGGTTAACTGAAAAAAACTATCTGTCTGTGTATCCTTTTTGAAGGGAGTTTGATCAGGCAGTTAAAACCATCAAATATTTTTTTTCAATAACTGAAGTAAGTTATTAAAACCACTCCGCTGTCGGCAAAGAGTAAGATACAAATATACCTTGTGATCTTGAATGAGTATTGGAACCTAGTTGTAGATAAAAAGGATAATATGATTTATCTGATGTGCAATTTTTCTTTGGTTGTGGATATCAAGGTTTTAATAAAATCAGCATTAGTCCTTTTCCTGCTGTTGGAGCTTTTGTCAAAAGACATTAATAGATTTAACTCTGAGTGAACTTGTGTTAGTCAAGATTTGTATTTATGCAACATGGAGGCCTCAAAAGGCAGATCAGCACTGATCCCAGCCATGTGCCTTCAAATCTCCAAAGTGGTCTTTTTTTACTGTTTACAGCCGGGCCTGAATCGATCCCAACAGCAAGACCCAGGGCACGAAGGCAAACGCATGGCTGCCGCCTGATTCGAACACCTTGGTCTACATCCATTTTCTGTGTAACTGTAGTGCAATTCTAGATCTCGAATCATCGTGGGTCACTCAACTGACCCTACTCCCCCCCCCCAGAGCGATGCAACCATGGCACAGCCTGTGATGCACTGCCGGTATGTGACTGTGTGAATGGAGCAAAGTGGATCACTGGGATATTTTTGAATTTGAACTACTACCTTTCTGAAGTACTTCAGGAACGATATAACACGGCCCATTTACTGGACTTTGGGAGGTTTTAACAAAGGACATACTTATTTGTCTTCATTCTGATTGACATGAATGGAGGCAGATAAAATTGATATTGCCCCGATAAAAGAGAAACGGTGCAATAAAAAATCTCGCTCAAATGTCCGGTTATATGTACACGCGTATGCTACGTGTAGGCAGTAGTCAGTTGTTGGTGCTTCTCTTTCATGGGCATGCAGGCAGCCGTGAGCGCCGGCACAAAGCCAAATGAGCTCTGCAGCGTTTGGGTTGGGTTTTATTGAGGGGGTGAGGGGGTTATTTATTTCAATTTATGAGCGCAGGTCCACTAAGTTACAGGACCCACCAGACCACCCAAAGAGGAAGAGAGGTCCTTTCCTCTTTTATCTGACTGGTTGATTAATCTCTTATCTCACCGGTGTTCTGCAGGGCAGCCTGGCATCTGTGATGGGATACAAAAGGTTTTCATTTCTATTGCATTTGTTCTCTGTATAGATGGTAATTGTGGTATATCTGGTACCAGATTGGGCCATTGTTGCTGATCCCAAATCCAATTTGGGATCAGCACGGTCATCAGGTCTTCATGTATTTGTTTTGGTCTGAACCAGTAATAAACATTCCCATCAGCTTCAGCTTTGTTATTAGTGCTAAGTAGTTCATCTTTTAGCAGGCAAGGTTCTAAAAATGGTAAATATTGTTCTTGCATGTGAACACCGACATTAAGATCATGCTAGCATACTGATTTAAAGCAAGTGTATTGTCACAGAACCACTATTGTTGCTGCTTTCTCAAAATTGTTTGTGGCGGTAAAAACATTTGAATCCAGTTACAAAGATTGACAAGAGTTAAAAATCTCCTCTTCCTGCAGCTGACTGAGCTCGCCTCCTTCTTGTCTTTCCAGCCCTGGTGGGACGCTGAGCCCAGTGACTGGCGGCTGGCTAAGGGTCCCGTTGGTGCTGGGGGGGCCTCCTCCCTGGTACTCACCCTGCCACCTGATTGCGCGCCGTCCCCCCACTGCGACGGCTGCCATGGCAATGAGCAGCGACCCCGGCCGCGCGAGGCCGAACCCCGATTCCGACAAACAAACCGGCAGCCTCACGGACATCATGGCTGCCATGACGACCGATGACGCTGACGTTTCAGCCGCCAACGGGCTGAGGAATGGCGGGACTCAGCAGGACGGCGCTCAGGTCAAGAGGACCCGTGCAATGCGGCCTCACCTGACCGGCAGGAAGTTGTCGTTGCAGGAGAGAGGCACTTACCGGTCATCGGGGCCCGGAGGAGGATACGCGCACATTTCCCCTCGTGGGGCTCGCAGGCCCACCGTGGAGTCTAAACGCGTGTCCATATCAGACGCTCAGGTGAGGAAGTGGTTTTAATTCATATGAATCAATAAATAACCACCAGCGAGGCCGTAAGGTTTTCAGAGGACAGTACTGGTCACACTGTTTAACGATGAGTCATCTAGGAAGTGTAGCAACATCGAACCTTGAATGTTTCGCTTTAAACGCGCACACACACACTCTAAAAAGTGCGTCATCTAGAATTCTCAAAACTGAGAGAAAGCAGACACGTTGTGCTTATTCGAACAGTTGGCCAATAATTGGAAAGCACAATGTAGCTCAAGAGCTGTGCATCGCCTCCAAAGAAAGTGGAGCAGAAAGCCGGCGTACAGCGTGACAAGGAGAGCGAGTCCGTTTGCACACTGGCCTCCCATTAGCACCCATCATGGGGACATGCCTCTGAGTAGTCACTAGTTTCCACAGAGGCATTATTATTCCCGCTCCTGTCAGGAATGTGCAGCCTCTATATTATTCCACACTCTGCAATGTGAGAGCATTTTGTTCTGACGTTTGGTTTAACCAAAATCACCATGACGGTTTCTTCAGACAGTCGTGAAATGCCCATTAAAGAAGTGAGAAATATCCATTTTCAATTCAGATTGGGCGTTTAATATTCATGACATCCGCATTGCTCGAGTTTCCCCGGCTCTCCTTGTACCTACAGTATGATACTGGAGAGGGATTTTTAGCCTGTACAAATATCCGTTGTGGCTGACATTTTGAGTGTTCACTGTTACTTAACAGTGGTTACCTCAAAGTGAAATTGCGCACACACACGCATGTTTTCATGCTTGTGTTTCTTTTATCTTCAGGCCCGTATTAAGCCACACAAGGAAACACTGTGTCTGTGTGGGTATATAGCTTATATAATAGTTTAACTAAAGCACCAAAGCTTCTTTCACCCTTTGTTTTCTCTCTAGTTTTTTTGGTTCTCCCTCCTGACTTTCTCATTGCATTTGTTACTCTCTTCTGTACACATTCATGTAATGTCTTTTTTTCTCTCCCTTTCTCCCCTTTGTAAGCAGGTTACATTTTTAGAAAACGTTCGCTGTTTTTTGGCTCGAGTTGGAAAAATAAAAAGAACCCTAAAGCAGTTTCATTTTGGGCTTTCCTGTTTGGTAGCATATTGACTGGTGTCAATATCCATTCGAGTTGATATATGGAGCCATTTATCACTGGGGTCCACAACACCCAGTGCTCTTTGAGGACTCTCAGGGTCATTTTGCTAAATAGATTTTTTTTGTAACTCTTTTCCAATGAGTCTTCTCCTCACACGGTCTTGTACTTTGTATCTGTTACGTCCGACTAATTATTTATTTTAAATAAACGGAGGAGGAAGGAATTTGAATTTGAACTTTGGCGGCCCCGCAAGCAAAGATTATGTTGCTCTCTGTTCGTCTTCACAGTATCACAGAGAACAATGTGCTTATAGAACTGAATATATGTGTGTGCTTATTTAATAATTAAGTCTTTTTCCTCCCAATGAAAAACGCAGTTCTATCAAAATTCATGTCAAAATTACTTGAGGAAACCGCTTTAGATACTAACACAAGTCCCGGTTTTATTACGTACTTCCTGAGAGCCATTTTCCCCCATTAGGACAACATTCATGGCCATTGATTTTGGGCACCAGCGTTGGCAGTGATGCATTTGTTTTGCACCGATATTGATCGTAGCTGAGTAATGGAAGGAGAGCCGTGGGTGGAAGGTTCGGTGCGGCTCAGACACAATGGAGGACAGACTGTTCTGCGGAGGGAATGGGGGAGATAAGAGGTGGGTGTGTGGCCTGCTGAGGGAGACACTGCAGGGCTGCACTGGTACCAGTCCAGCGCAACAGCTCCGACAGAGAGAGACCCTCTAAAGATGTAGTGGCCCAGTGAAGAGTCAGAGTTCTAATTGAAGTCTTTTCTGCATGGCCTCCTTTATTTATCGCCCCCGACCGAGTAATCAACTGCAATGCAGCTCCTTTCTGAGCAAGTGCTGGCAGAATGTGCAGCCAACGAAACCCCAGCCAGACAATCCCTCTCTGCCCCTCTTCGGATTTTTCTTTCCTTGATCCTATGCTGCCCTATTTTCTTAATTTTCCATCTCCTTTTCAACCGATTGACACAATCCATTTTATAAAAAGCTGCTTCACCTTGCAAACCCCAGACCCTCTCTTTTTTGTGGTTATAATCCCTGCGCCCAGTAGTCGATACCGGCGTTGCCTGGAGTTTGCACAATTCTTATATCAGAAACGCTCATAACCACCAAGGTTTTCTGTGCTCTCCGACTTCCACTCGTGCTTCAAACATGTCCCAGTACCAAGTCTTAGCCCCCCCCGTCCTGCTGTGGTGTGCTCTCCTCTGTCGTGCCCCTGGCTCACTCTGAGCTGTAGCAGTGGTTGCTATGGAACTGCAAATCACCCTTTTAAGCAGTAGCCCTCTAATGGATTTTTCAGACGGTAAACAGAAACTAGAGTGTGTTGTCACCTACATCTTACAAATAAATGTCTCCCTCCACACGTGTGTAGACACACTCAGCTGGGACATTTGTTCCCGTAGCAAAAAGGCGGCCTTGTCTCTTTGATATGTCATGAAAGCTTTGTCATGTTCTTTTTTATTAATTACTTCCTCACGCCTTTTCTTCCCCTTACAGGACTGCATCCAGTTGAACCAGTATAAGCTGAAGAGTGAGATTGGAAAGGTAAGTTTGTCGGTTTTCTACCATTTGTTCATTTGTAGAGCTTTTTGGAATATAAGCAGCATCTTTGAGAGGATGGAACCTGTGAAGTGATTATTTTCAGCATGTCCACACAAAAAGTTGTCCTTATTTTATTGCTTGCATATTCTTACATTTTACGTGGGAAGTCCAATACATTACTAACATTAATAATAATAAAATGTTTATTGGAACTATTTAGGTGAAAACCACTTATCCACCTGGGAATTATAAGAATATGGAGATACATGATCCGGGGTTCAACAATTCAATTTGTTGATATTGCAATATGCCCTAAAACAAAAAATGTTATGCCTTTTGTGCCTGCGTATCCATGGCCATCGTACTATTCAATTGCACTCTCTCTCTACTCTACCTACAGTGTACGCGCATCCATTTTCGAAAACTAGGTAGTTCAAAGGTGTTGTTTTATTTCTTCTCCCCCAATGTTTCTGCATTGTTGAGTCCACACCCATGCCACCAGCTCTGCAACATGTTGATAATAAACGTTCTATGAACAGGGCTCAGAGTATTAATGTAGCAGCAAGTTCTATTAGCTCAGTCAGCACGGTTCATGCCGTTGGCAACAGCATCTGGTGGCAGCCGGCTCCATGTTGGGTGTTTATTATTCATTTATATATTCATTTGTTTTGCAGGGACACTGCACACCAATCAACAGTTGTACTGTTGAACTGTGAGTTAGCCAGAGAGGCTAATTTCCATCTGCTGTCCCCAGCCAGATGTTTTTAAGGCAGCCTAAAATAAAAAGGAAAGGAAATGTAATTAAAATTCGTAGACAAATGGACAAAAACGTATAGGCAGAACTAATATACAACAAAAGACAAGAAAAGTGTACGACAATAGACTAGAGCAGACACAAGAAGCTGCAGCATGCGCCAGGCAGAACAAACCCACCTACAGTAAAAACACATATACTGTATAACACTGAGGAACATAATGTACACATAAAAATATTTAAAAATTTAAATAAAGCAATACTGAACAAGTCAAATATACATGTAGGGGAAACAAGCAGGCGGGACAGAGCACATCGATGCTCTCACACCTGAATGACAACAAGCCAATCCTTAAGGTTATCCCTTAGTTTAGTATGTTAGCGTTGTAATAGTTTCTCCTCAGAATCTTTAGTAGTGCTAAATACAAAATACAGCGGACGTTGAGGGGAATTTAAACCTCATGGTATCGCTAGATATGGACTTGGGGACTATGAATGTCGATTCACAATTGCTTTTCATCTAATAGCGACATACAGTGCATCCGGAAAGTATTCACAGCGCTTCACTTTTTCCACATTTTTTTATGTTATAGCCTCATTCCAAAATGGATTAAATTCATTATTTTCCTCAACATTCTACACACAATAACCCATAATGACAAAGTGAAAACTGTTTTTTGCAAATTTTCACAAATCTGTTAAAAATAAAGAACGAAAACATAACATGTACATAAGTATTCACAGCCTTTGCTCAATACTTTGTTGAAGCACCTTTGGCAGCAATTACAGCCTTAAGTCTTCTTGGGTATGATTCCACAAGCGTGGCACATCTATTTCTGGGAAGTTTCTCCCATTCTTCTTTTGCAGAACCTCTCAAGTTCCGTCAGGTTGGATGGGGAGCGTCGGTGCACAGCCATTTTCAGATCTGGGTTCAAGTCAGGGCTCTGGCTGGGCCACTCAAGGACATTCACAGAGCTGTCCCGAAGCCACTCCTTTGTTATCTTGGCTGTGTGCTTCGGGTCGTTGTCCTGTTGGAAGATGAACCGTCGCCCCAGTCTGAGGTCCAGAGCGCTTTGGAGCAGGTTTTCATCGAGATGTCTCTGTACATTGCTGCATTCATCTTTCCCTCAATCCTGACTAGTCTCCCAGTTCCTCCCGCTGAAAAACATAGCCACAGCATGATGCTGCCACCACCATGCTTCACTGTAGGGATGGTGTTGGCCAGGTGATGAGAAGTGCCTGGTTTCCTCCAGACATGACGCTTGGCATTCGGGCCAAAGAGTTCAATCTTTGTTTCATCAGACCAGAGAATTTTGTTTCTCATGGTCTGAGAGTCCTCCAGGCGGGCTGTCATGTGCTTTTTACTGAGGAGTGGCTTCCGTCTGGCCACGCTACCAAACAGGCCTGATTTGTGGAGTGCTGCAGAGATGGTTGTCCTTCTCTGCATAGAACAACGCTGGAGCTCTGTCAGTGACCATCGGGTTCCTGGTCACCTCCCTGACTAAGGCCCTTCTCCCCCGATCGCTCAGTCTGGCTGGGCGGCCAACTCTAGGAAGAGTCCTGGTGGTTCCAAACTTCTTCCATTTCCGGATGATGGAGGCCACTGTGCTTATTGAGACTTTCAATGCTGCAGAAATCTTTCTGTACCCTTCGCCAGATCTGTGCCTCGATACAATTCTGTCTCGGACTTCATGGCTTGGTTTATGCTCTGTTATGCACTGTCAACTGTGATACCTTATATAGACAGGTGTGTGCCTTTCTCAATCATGTCCAATCAACTGGATTTAGCACAGGTGGACTCAATCAAGTTGTAGAAACATCTCAAGGATGATCAGTGGAAACAGGATGCACCTGAGCTAAATTTTTGTCATGGCAAAGGCTGTGACTACTTATGTACATGTTATGTTTTCGTTCTTAATTAAATAGATTAATTAATTTAATCCATTTTGGAATAAGGCTGTAACACAACAAAATGTGGAAAAAGTGAAGCGCTGTGAATACTTTCCGGATGCACTGTATCAGTCTATACTGAAGTGGACGGACCGACAAACTGTCGGTGAGACTAAATGTCTGAGACAAACGGCAGATTGGATATCGTAAGGAGGAAATAAGAAATGGAAAACCTATTAACAGCAGACATAGTGATGTATAAAGCAGCATATTTTAGAATGTGGAAAAGTCAGGTGGAGATTTATACATTAAAATGTTCGAAAGTTTGTTTTCGGAAATGAAGAATCAAACCATCCCTATTAAAAAATAAACACTTTCAATTTGGGACATTTTGAAAGCCTTGTCACATGAGATTGCGTGCGCTGAATAAAGCTCACAACATTATTTTAGCCATTCCACAAGAGCACTTACTTCTAATCCATAGACACTTACCATCAGCCATCTGGCAAATTTGGCCCTGCGAGACGTCAAAGGTGATATAACTCCGTTAATTTAATTTCTGTGAGGGCTCTATTAGGTTACTTGTTAGCACTAAGCAAGAGAGGAGGCCGTGCTGGAAAAAAAATAAGGATTATTATGGCAGGCTCAAACCTCCTTGGGCTGTGTGTGAGTGTGTGGGAGGAGCCTTTCCGTCCTGCCAAAGGATAGAAAATGTTCTATTTGAATAGAAACCGTGCTGCCTTCAAAACATTATGTCGGTGTGATGCTGCCGTCTGTTTCTCAAAGTGATGCCGAAGGTATCGATTCTGAAGCTGAACAACAGAACGTACTGACGTGAGTGTCGAGCTGTGAGCAAGTGTGTCCACATGCAAATGAACCTCTATGTATTTGCATTGCAGGGGTCCTACGGTGTGGTCAAACTCGCCTACAACGAGGATGATGACAAACACTACGTAAGTCAACGCACTTCTTTTGAGTTTCAGAAACTTTCCTGCAATCAGGAGCTGAAATCCAGCTGCAGCTCTCCTCTGAGTCTTCAACCAGCCTATTGTCTGCACAGAAGAGCTTTAAACCAGTGCTACGGATTTCTTCCCCCCCCCCCCCCCCAAATGGTTGCTGCTGTGACTTTAGAACTTAAAGTCCCATCTGATGCCACTTAACGTGCATACCGTGATCAGTCCACACACAGTCCTAAATGTGAGGGCAGTTTAGGCCTTTCCATGGAGCGGATTTGCCCTCCGCACACTCTGCCTCTGCAAATGTAAGACCTTATAGGTTTGAACGCAACTAAGCCGCCCTGTAAAATAAAACTACTAAAAGTGTTTGGATGAGTCATGTCGACTGAAGCTGCCGACCTTGGTTGGGTTTGCGATATACTTTTGAGCCGGTGAGAGCTTGGAGAGGAACGCAAGCCGGTATTGAAAACGGCAGCTGTTAAAAAGGCCTGAACGGCAAACAGGAGTTTATGTAAGGACGCAGACGCCAGCATGAGCAAAATGTATTAACAAGGTTTTCATTTTTATATAGACTCTACCCACTGGCATGCGGCTTTCAAATAATGGCAACCTGTTCAAGAAATAGCATTAAAATAATTGCCTGCAGTAAAAAGGTTTTGTGGGAAAGAGACGACGGCCGGGTTGAAACCATCGCGTCTGGCAAATCCTCAATCCTGAACTAATCATCCAAATCCTAACTGACGTGTATTTTCAGATTTCCTATTCATGGATATCTTTACCTCTCAGCTCTTAGTCAAAGTGAGCGACGGTCTTGGTTTAGTTTCGGAAAGGTCGACCTTAATATGTCAAATGTATGTCCAGTGCAAAATCCTTTTTCCGCTTCCTCCACTCGTCCCATTTGTCCTTTAAATATTTCATTTGCTCGCCCTGCGTCTTTGTCACGCGTCTGTGCGAAGGGTTCAAAGCATTTGATGCGGATTGTTGACACTGCCGGTAAACGCTCCCTTCTGCGGTTTACCACCGACCGGCTCAAGTGACAAACGCATCTCAAATAACTAAGACGGCAATGAGGAGAGGAGCAGATGAGTTTTATGTCCTGGTAATCTGAGTCGGTCTCACACAAAACTGATTGGATATCTGCATGTGGAGCATCTGCACAACATTGACCAACTAGCACAACTACGTCGCTCACGAAGGAGAATGATCGCCAGTAGTTCAGCTGTATTTAACTGACCCACGTGAGATTTCTTTCTTTAAAAGATGTGTGTGTGATTCTCTCTGCGTGCCCTACTTGCTGGTCGTTTCTTTGCACTGCCCTACTACGGCCGTCAGATCCCATAACGGCGGCGGCTTTGAGAGAGCTTAGCGCTCAGCCTTCGGTTCCCCCTCAGTTAAGCTCGGCTGGTTCTGTCGGCGGCGCTCTTACAAATGTTTGCTTCTAGCTGCCATCGTGTGGAAGCTATGTTAAGGGAATCCCTCATTCAGAGGTGTGCTCTGGATTCACAATGTGTTACATGGAAATGGCATTGAGTTTAAATATTTCCAGACTTCTTACTAATTTAAACCATGTTTTGTTGTCCAGCGTATCAACAGAATACAAAAGGTCCTAGCATCCCGCCTGTGTATGTTGGGGCGTCCTGTCTTGTATACATTTGAGCCATGAGTTTAAAGGGCTAATCATTGCAGGGATGAACCTGTTGTTGGTCAAAGGTCACTGACCTCACCGCATGTTCTGGGCCGTAACGGAAGATCTCAACAATAAGACTCGCACAACAGTTTTATGTTTTTAACATTTTTACTTTCATCTGAGCAAACTTAGTAGTCTTTTTTAACTTATAGGACTTGTTGTCTCCATGTTAGAGAGCTGAATAATTAAGAAATGGCCCATTAAGGGAATAATATGGTGACTTTTTTTGACACCTCCTACAAAACACCTGTCCTGCTCTCATGCGCTCCGTTGATTACCTCCTCTTGGTTAATTAGAACTGAACTCGCAGAACCCTTTTCATGTTGTGTTTTACACAGTCATTGTCATACTTTCTTACTCCCAATTTCATATTTGGTTAAATACATTGTGTAACACTTTCACCTTGCCACAGTCCAAATTTTAGCTTTTGATGACATTTATTGGAGCTCCACCAGCAACGCCAGATTCTGTAATGGGCTCCAGTCTGAATAATGTGATTGTCTGTGTATAGCAACATTTACAGCACTTTTCAACCAAAAAGTTGCAATAATTCTGAATATGGTGCTCTGGATATAGAATTGTTAGCTGTTTGACAGTGGCTGAGTCATTAATCCCACACACACGCATACCGTGGAATTTGTTGAAGAGGCGGGAATTGTTTCCTTTCTTAAAAGAAATTGCTTCCTCTTATTGCGTAACCAATTCCTTGTAAGAACACACACACCGAAATGTATGTATGTGTTTGCACATCAAAGATGTATTTGCTTCAGACTCAAATTAACCTGAATTTTTTACTTAAATAAAAGCTTAATCAGTTAGATGTTCATTAAGTAACTTTCAGGTTTCTCGCTTTGATCAATGCACACGTTAGAACCCCGTAAGTTCACTTCTCTCCCCTGTGAATACAAGCTGCATGCGAACACGCTTTGATCCGTCTCGTGTCGCTCTGTCCTAGGCTATGAAGTTGGTGTCCAAGAAGAGGTTGATGAAGCAGTGTGGTTTCCCACGTAAGTCCTCCTCCTACTTTCCCAAACAGACTCACTCGGTACACTGTGCGTGCGCGTGCATTTACTAGGGAGTAAACTAATCTCCTCTACAAACACTGAAGGGGTGTGTCTGTGTGTCATGTTGGGCAGAGTGTCATTTAGTGTCATTTAACGGCTTTTGGAAGGTGCGAAACGGGATGCAGCATGAGACAACCAACAGAGCTCCCAACAAGTTGAATTATCCTTTATGTAAAAAGAAACCGGTTTCAAACCAGTGACCACAAACAACAACTCCCTGCCACGTGTTTGGATCATCACGTCATATGATTGCTCCTGTCAACACCAATCAAGTGAATTAGTTATAAAAGTAGTAATGTGTGATTTGTGTGGTGGTCTGCAGGTCGACCACCCCCAAGGGGACCCAAAGCGGCCCAAGGAGAGCAGCCAAAAGTCTTAGGACCCCTGGAGAGAGTCTACCAAGAGATTGCCATCCTTAAAAAACTGGACCACGTCAACATTGTGAAGCTGGTGGAGGTGAGAGCATCTCTATCCTCTGGTTTTTGTGTTAATTACTGGATACGTGGCAACTTCAGAACTTCACCCAGATCGCTGACTATTCAAATTCCAAATCAACATTTGAATGTATTTGAACTGGGTATTTTTGCACAGTTGTAGATAAAGGTCAGGCAATACTGTTAAAATCCAATTCTTAAATTAGTTTTGTGGTAACGGTCTCTGTGTAGGATTGTTTTTGAATTCAGTGGTCCAAACATTTCCAATAACTCAAGAGTACTGCTTAGTCCGGCAGTCAAAATTTGTTGACAAAAAATACCCAAACTCTTTTTTTTTTTTCACGAAAAGTTCTGCTCTAATCCATGTCTGTCATATCATTTAAACCTTAACAAAAACAATTTTACTGCAGATAACAATTCGCTTTGTAAATCCGCTTTTCAAGTAGCATTGTTTCGGTGGCTACACGCACCTCCTAAATGAACCGTTTCTACACTCGGGTTTCCATTTTCTTGAAATTAGTAGTTGTGGAAAAAATGGCATCTTGGTTAGGAGACATGCCGTTTCATAATCCTCTATCTGATTATATAATGCAGACTTCCACAACCGGCTTATTTCCGTTGTGTCCAGGATTATCCGTTCCCACTGTTTCTTCAGATAACCTTTTTTGTTGTGTCCTCTTCCACTTTGTTATTGTGTCGTGTCAGTTCCCATCAGACCAGAAAAGGCAGATAAACTCTGTGCTGCCAGGAAATGAGATTTACCCTCCAGCACATTCATCACACCTCTGTCCCTGGACCTTTCATGGTGTTTAGGCAACATATTCGGAGGAGGGGGAGGAGATCTTTCCTCCTGTAAATAGATTCTTAGATTGACAACAATCTGAAATTGATGCTGATTTGACGACTTGTGAAGATGGATGCCCAGAGCTCCCTCGCGGTTGTTTTTATCAATCTTGGGCAGATGGTGTGGGAAGCGGGGGGGGGTGGGGGGCACCATGGTTGACTTCAAGGAGCAAGTCCGTAGGAGAACTGTCGGGCTTTCTCTTGCATGACGAGATGGACAGATTTTAAGTAAAAGCCGAGCACTGCTCCTGTGTTCTCGCTCCAGCAGTGAGGACACACACACACACACACTCCTCTCATTCCTCTTTTGTCCGCCCCAACTGTCATAATGGGCATGCGTAAGTGGGCAATGGGAGAAACTGCTCTCAGTTCTCCAATTTAAATGTGCTGTGCTTCCCCCCCCCTCCCCGTCTCCTGTGAGACGTTCCAGTCCGTCCAACTAAGAGTGAAACGCTAACATGCCCACGCCCAGAGATTGATGCGGAGACAGGGATTTGGGAAGAGAGTGACCCCACACTCTCCAAGGCATGCAGTTGTTATGAGAGTAGACTCTTTACAGTCAGAAATGTCATTTCCCATAAATCGAGAAACTCTTTTAATGCAGTGCTTGGGAACCGCATTAGTCAACCGCAGTAATAATTATGGGGCTACTAATGGTTTGCACTTTGCACTCAGCAGCTGATTCACCGTGGCTTTGCAGAAGCATGGGCCGTGCACACGACAACCCTTTTCATTGACGTGGTGCAGGCTGGATTATCAATTGATTCATGAACTGCTAGTGTTATTTCAGTTTGATATTCCTCAGGTATTTTTGTTAAAGCACAACATTAACTGACAGGCTGTAAATGTAGCATTGCACTGCTGTAACACAGTCGCACTCATGATGGGTGAAATCAATGCAGTAGAATGAATCAACTTCCCAGTGCCAACAGTCCTAAGGGCCAGTCCATTGCTTTACAGTTCACCTGCTAGCCGCTCCAGACAAGCTCTTTTGTCTTTAGCAGGGGTCTAAGTCCGGATCTATTTTTATAGCCAGTAGTCCTTTTAATTAAAAACAAAAAAGCTGTACAAAAGCTTGAACTTCAAAAGGCTTCCTGTCGGCTTCTTAACTGATACAGACGAGTTACGGAGTGTTGTTTTTCCATGTTTCTGTGGAAAGGCTTCCCTCACTCAATCTTCATGTTTCAGGTGCTGGATGACCCAGCGGAGGACAACCTTCACATGGGTACGCAGAACTTTTTTTTTTTTATCTGTCCAAATCTTCCGCCCCATTTTGCCCCTTTTGCAGCCTTTGGCACTCTGAACATATGCCGCCAACAAGTGTTCATATAACATATTCATAATTCAGATCCTCTCTTCCCAAACCACCTCAGGGCTCAGTGATTATGGAAATAAAATGTATGAATAAATCAAACTTCCATCAGCAGTGCCATGTTGCAGTGCCAGGTCACAGCCTGTGTTATTGTGAAACTGCAAACTCTTTGTGTGCTTAATGTGGCACGTTCCTGATAATAATGTGACTCTGTGGGGCCTCAGGTCATGAAATAACCAACGCATTGCGTGGTCTGACTTGTTCCTTCTCATTGCCTTTTTCTCAGTGTTTGAGCTGATGCCTAAGGGGTGAGTATAGAACGTGCTCTTTCAAAAAACAAATGATGATCATGTACGGCTCGTCCTCCTACCTCCTGAACTTCTTCATCACTCCGTCGCTGCCTCCATCCCTGCTGTGTTCTCCTGCATCATTCCAAGCTGGCACAGTGCGGCTGCTTCTCCCCCCGTCATTCATAATGTACTTTGGTCTTTACGGTTGTTACGAGTGCAGGAGCTCGCCCCTCCTACACCAAAGTACTTTTTGTTGCTGTAAGCAATTAGAGGTGGCTAGAGGGTAACATACAACAAATTGGCAGAATTAAATTATGTATACGTTTTTGTAACATTTATTCAATTGATAATAAGATAACTTGTGCTCTTTAGGTTATGGGACATGAATGATAACAATAAAGTATAATACATTATCTTTGTGTGCGGTTGGATTTAGGGTCCATACAAGGAAACACAGATTGTATCACAGCGTCAGTGATGTTTGATCAGGATGTGTCAGACGCATATCTGTCTTTACATTTGGAATTTAAATTTCGATGCAAATGAAGGAACCCATAATGGATTTGTCTGCCTCGCTGTCTGTCTTTGTTTTTCTCCGTTGTGTGGATTTGTAGTCCAGTGATGGAAGTACCCTCGGACAGTCCTTTCACAGAAGAGCAGGCCAGGTTATACTTCAGAGACATCATCCTTGGCATGGAGTACTGTAAGTATCTCATGCAGTCTTTGAGGCTTAACCACGTCTGCGGAGCATTCAGCGGACCCCCACGTATGCACTTTTAGCTATTAAACCTTGTTCTTGCATTTTGGGGGTGTTTGTAGTGGTCAGTAAATCATTTGGATATTCCATTTATAAAGGTTTCCTTCTCTATCATTCCCGTTATGATACTCCAAGTATATAATCAGGAACATTTGGGCCACTGTGTCTCTCCAAAAGAATGACCACTCGCTACTTAAAAAAAAAAAAAAAAAAAAATGGCATAGTGGCATTCTCTGATGTGACTGCACAAAATGCTTTTGACCCTCTGTTTCCATCGCCCGGGGGACTGGCCGCAGATTTCTGCCGTCCACCTCATCAGTATCGAGCCTCTGCTCAGTGAGCGCTGTGCTCCCATTTGCTGTGGATCCACTTCACCTGACTGTGGGCCTGATGACTAAGGATCAATGCGGCCTCCCTACGAGCTGCCAGGTCCTTCTTGAAAACAAGGCCACAGATAATTAGAATCAAGCGGTTTTTCAGTGCTCATACTTCATCAGTCGTGGGTCTAAATCAAGGCTCAGCTAAACCATTTAACCATTTCTTTTTTTTCTTGCCAACCCTCTTGAAAAACACAATCTAAGGTTTGGAGTCTATTGACATAAAGTTGTACAGTACGAATGGACCTGCAAATCAAAAAACAGTCAAACCACTTATCCTGCACACAGGGGTCTGGAGTCTATCCCAGCCGACTTTGGGCGAGAGACTGGGTACATCCTGGGCTGGTCGCCAGCCAATCACAGGGCAACACAGAGACAAACGACCATTCACACTCACATCCACACACCTACGGGCAATTTAGAGTCACCAATCAACCTGATCCTTAGAGGATGCTTCTTGGACTGTGGGAGGAAGCCGAACTCACGACGACACAGGGAGAACATGCAGACTCCACACAGAAAGGCCACTCTCATGTATGCAATATGTTTTTTTTTTCAAATAATTAATTAATTAATATAAAACATTTCAACATTTCAATAAACCCCCAAAGTAGGCAATGTCTCTAATAAGTGCAGCATGCCTTCTAAAAACTACATTGGCTAAAACCTGTGATATCATTTGGCAGACTGTAGGTCATTGACGTTGTGTTTCTAATTTAAGTATTATTGGTGCTGCTAACGCCTCTCAATTATCTCTGCTTTTAATAATTCAAGTGCTTTACGTTTTAATAAAACAACAAGGGATGTGAGTGCGGACAAGTGAGCCGCACTTACCCAGCCAGTGAAGTGTGCAGCGCTCGGCTCCAGATAGCTATCAAGTGCATCTTGAAGCCGTAACATTTTAGATGAGCTTCGCTTAGGTTCGCATTAGATCACAGTATTCACATCATTCCAATGGTTAAATCAGCAGTTTATTAATGTTTATGTGCCAGATATTTTTGTATAAGTGTGGATTAAACTTTTTTTTTTTTTTTCTGTGCATGTCCATATTGAACACATTAAATATGGGCGCAGTAGATTGGTAGCGGTCAGTCAGATGCAATGTGTTTCTTCAAAACTGACGACCAGACTTCTAGTGACTTTCAACTACGAAATGTTTTTTTTTTCTCTACATGCCATTTTCCTGACTGTTTAATTCCTCCCACCTCCAGTGCACTACCAGAAGATTGTCCACAGAGACATCAAGCCTTCTAACCTGCTACTGGGGGACGATGGCCATGTGAAGATAGCCGACTTTGGGGTTAGCAACCAGTTTGAGGGCAACGACGCTATGCTGTCGAGCACCGCTGGGACCCCTGCATTTATGGCACCGGAGACCCTGTCAGACGCGCGGAAGAGCTTCAGCGGAAAAGTGAGTGGACTCCCATACGTTTGGTGAGCGTGAGTCTGAAGACACGGGATTGCAGCGGCTGGTGGTGTCGCCCCGACTGGAAAATGAGAAGCATTAAAACCAAGATGAGCATGTCAGTGTGTTAGCTCCTACTAATAACAAGGAAACCAGGGGATTTTTGCTGGAATCAAGAAATGGTGTTTCAAACGTCACATTGATTCACGAATGTTTCACATCGTTAAGCGGTTTCAACTTTTACAGTGAAGCGACGATCAGGTTTGTCAAGCAGAATCCGCCAACGCTGGCCTTGATTTCCAAGTGCCTCCCAGATGAATTATTTGCAAATCTAGCAGAAAATATTCTTTGATTGCAGAAAGGAGGTCAGAGTGGTGTAAGTGCCTTTACAAATCTGTGCAGTCTTATCTTCCTATGAGTCTCGCATTTCTCCTGATTTTGAGTTTTACATGCCATGCTCCAGAGAGCTTTTTGTCCATTGAAGCACCAACATTTTTGGTTGAAATTGGCAGTGAAATATGGAATATCTGGACACCAATGTGTCACTTCAACCCAGTTTGTCAGTCCCGGTAGCCCATCAGGTCATAACAACATACCAGTCCCACAGCAGCTTGCCGCAACAGATAACAAATGTCTGTGGCTGTGTGATAGATAACGCAGGCTCAGAGAGCTGGCTTTATAATTTCATATCTTTCAAGGAACAGAAATGCATTCCTAGCTATTCATCTTTGTCTGTCTCTCTCTCTCTCTCTCTCTCTCACGACCTTAACATTTCCCATGAATTGATTTAGGTTGACTTTTTGTCTGTGCAGTAAGATCTGTTGATTGCTATAGGTATGTTTTTCATTCTGTTTGCCGTAATGTTGCAATCATGTCACTGTGGGCTGTTTCTTGAAGGCACTGGACGTGTGGGCCATGGGGGTCACCCTCTACTGTTTCGTCTTTGGGAAGGCAAGTCTGCACAGTTCTTTCATCTGGTCCACGAAAGGTAGCAGCAAAGCCTGAGAAAGAGGATCCCTGCATACTTATAAACAGCTGTCTAGTCTAGCCATCTCTTCATTTCTTTTTCTGCCTTGTCTTTCTCACTTGTCTTTCCTCTTCTCCCCCTGCAGTGCCCATTTATTGACGAGTTCATATTGGCTTTGCACAACAAGATAAGGACCGGGCTTGTGGATTTCCCAGAAATGTAAGTCCATCCCCTTCGTCCTTGACGCTCCTCCACTTTATTAAAAGAGACCGCAGCGTGGTCCCAGCCACCTCGTGTCCACAGCAGTAATCGCCGCCTTCGCTTGTTTATCTTTTCAACTGCATCTCTTTTCCCGCCGTTTCAAATCTGCATCTGCACAAACTGGCGTAGCAGACAGTATGGCACACGGTAAACGTCCCCTTTTTAATGATCAAACAAAGCATTGAAAAAGCAAATGTGGTTTCCCACCAGTATCTTCACTTTGTCTGAAATGTCGACATCGAGGCAATTTCTTGGGTGCATAAAGCTAGACTGTGACAGTGTGCGTCAGACTGAGGGGGAGAGCCTTCCCATCTTCCGCCGCAAACTAAAGACACACCTCTTCAGACTCTACCTCGACTAAAAGACTGACAAATTGTAGCACTTAAATTGTACTTATAATGCCACTTATCTATAGTAAATTGGCTTATTTGAGGAAATTGCACTTTCTTGTTTCTTGCTCTTCTGAACATTCCTGTGGTACTTATTGTAAGTCGCTTTGGATAAAGGCGTCAGCTAAATGACATGTAATGTAATGGTGTGTAAGGACGGGGTGTCATGTTGTCAGGGTTAAGGGTCTTCTCCCAGTGGACTCAGAAGTGTTCATGCTTAATGAACAAACCCCAACGAGTGTCTCATCACCTCATGGAATCCTCTCCCCGCTGTACTGATCAGTGGCAGTTAGCAGCAGTACTGAGGGTCTTTATACTGTAGCTCACATTAACCCATTTTACTGATAACCTATATTCCTATCATCCATACTAATGATAGGTATTTTAGCAGTGTTAGTGGTGATGATGGAGATATTGTTAGTAGACCGGTTTTAGGTCAATTTTTTTAATTTTAGAGCACAGGCTTGTATTACTTTCATCTATTTTAACTGTTACTTTCAGTTATATAATTAAACCCTTTTCACCATTATTCCATTAGTTTTATCTAATTATTAACAGTTTATGCTGTTAACTATTTCAATTATTTATCCATTTTTATTAGCTTATTACTTTTTTTTTGTGTTACCTATGTTTACCTTTTTACATCTTCTGCGTTATTATTAACTCACTGTTCCAGCTGTTCATCCCTTGGTTTTAGCTAATTATTTCAACAGTTTCAGCGTTCCCTTTTAGCTACCTGTTCTGTTGCTAGCTTTTCTGCTTGCTTCGATGTTTTTCTCCATCAACAACTCCATTCTTAAATCCGTGTTCTGTGCGTCGTGCAGGCCAGAGATCAGTGAGGAGCTGCGGAGCCTGATCTTGCGGATGCTGGACAAGAACCCAGACACTAGGATCACCATCCCTGAGATCAAGGTATCCGCGCAGAAGATCGTCCAGGTTAACGGGAAGCTACCTTGAGCACAATTATAGCGAAGACGTCATTGTTAATTCCCAGACCCAATTTCCTGTGATGGACCCAAAAGGCCTCTCTCTGTTACACAAGGGTTAAAAAAAGATTAACACTGAGTCACCAATACAGGGGGGAGGTCCAGGACCAGTCAGGACCGATCCCCACGGTGTTCCCATGACACGAGCCAAACATGCGTCAGTGAGTCACCTTCTCACCAGAGACGGTGTTTTGTGTTTATGGAACAGGAGATAATTAGGCAGTATGCACAACATGGTGCACGTACAGGCACACATTGCTTCTTTGTCAAAAGTTGCAAAATGCCCCTTATTACTTATATAATATAATGATGTATATCGAAAAATTACATAATGCTTAAATTTAATATAAAGCTAAACATGTTCAGCCCCTGTGCTAGACGGTGTATATATTTATATTTATATTATATATATACACCGCTTGTTACATGATTAAATTTTATGGAAGTTATGGAAAAAACTAATTTCCAGTTGCTTTATGAAAGTGACCCATTAATATGAGTATACTGCCTTAATACGTTTTTTACTTTTCCACTGCTCACTGATTTCAATGGGGAAAGATATACTCTGATATTTCTTGATTGTGGGAGCTTTCAAACGTGACATTAATGGAGTGAAGTGAACTCCGGTACTCGAGGACTGATTACTGAATAATTAGTTTGAATACTAGCTTTCACTTTTTTTCCCTTTTTGGATGCCCAATGAGCTTCCCAACGTGGACTTTAGAGCATCGGTATGAATGTTTTTAAGGGAAACTTGTTTCTTATTGTCAACCCAGAAAAAGCCAAAAACAATGAAATATTGATTCTGCCATTGATGGAAAACCAGTGAGCCATTGAGTGCTGCAGCTGTCGAGTGCTTCCCCCATCTTAAAGTGGACTGGCGTTTCAATGTTTTTTTGGTAAAACGCATTTAAAAAAAGTCTACCAATGCGTTTTTATGCTTTTTACTTCTGCTGCTTTGATTTGTGCTTCAAAAATGAAAGATGCCGTATTAATTTGTGGATATTATTTAACTGAACAAAACATGTAAATATTATGAATATACAAAATATAAACCCGCTGCTTTTTGGTTAGGAAACAAAAATGTGACATTCCTGCAGCACTCATAACAGTGATATCATTTTGGAAACTCATCTATTTTGCATCGATCCCAATGAACCGAATGATCACATGACCAATCTAGGATGGAAAATAGTAATGGATCTTTGCAGAAAAATATACGTTATACATGAGTCCGTTTACAACAATGGACTTTGTTAAACCTGAGAGTGTGTGTGTGTATGTGTGTGTGTGTGTGTTAGATGGACCAGTGGGTGACCCAGTTAGGCACAGACCCCTTGCCCCTGGAGGAGGAGCACTGCTCTGCGGTGGAGGTGACTGAGGAGGAGATCCAGAACTCCGTAAAGTTTGTCCCCAGCCTCTCGGCCGTGGTAAGGAGCCCTGCGCGTCCTCCCTTGGCGGGGGGCTTTTGTGTCAAATAGATGCGCATCGTTTCCAAGAGAGGGGAAGAGAGGCTGCTCCCTACCAGCTGCAGTCCTCCGTTTACCGCGATGGTGACAAAGCACAGCGACATAGTGATTTACTCACAGTGCAGTGCAGGCTGGTTCACAAAAAAAACAGTTGATGCCCCAGTTTGAATGGTGCGTATTCCTGTAGCTTTTGTAATATCCGACTGCCATTAAAGCCATTGATTCAAACCTGAATACCAATATTAAAGAAACAAATTCCCCAAATGGGGGATTTAAGATCTTCGATCGGCTGGTTCCATAAATGTTCTATTGGGAAACAAGCTCACATGGTTGCATTAATAGGCACTCGCAGCATATCGGTGACTAATAAAGGGCACATTTGAAAATGATTTATACCATTGGCTTTATAGCATCCTGTAGATGGACTTTCCAAGCCGCCAAAGAGGTCGGAACATTCTCACATTGATGGCCCCTATAGGGTCTTGTATGAAGTTATGACCATTAAAATATTCCAGAAAAGTACAACAATAAACAATATGAGCATATGACTGATGGAGGGAATCCTGAAAAATATTTTTCTTGTACATAACAAAAACCATTGTAAACGTAACATAAATGGACTTATCTGAGACATTCTGGTCTGCTTCAACCCTCTGTGTGCGCTTCCTTCGATGAATACTTTATTTTGTGCAGAGCCACAGCGAGCTTTGGCACGTCATTGCAGCCGTCCTGTGCCTGTGAATGTTTCAGATCTTGGTGAGAGCCATGCTAAGGAAGCGATCCTTCAGCAACCCCTTTGAGTGTCCCAGCAGGAGAGAGGAGAGGTCTATGTCTGCGCCCGGCAGCCTGCTCATGTAAGCACACGCGCCCTCTGGCTCTCAATAACTGTACATCTCATCCGTGAAGACGGAGAAACGCAACAACACGAGGCTCTTGCTTATTGCAGAGATTACTAGAGACTCTGACATCGACAGCAGCAGCAGCTGCTGCTTTGCCATAGCACCATCCTTCATTCTTTCATTGTATGCAGCGGAGCTTCCAGCTTTTATACGTGTTTCTTTTGTGTGTTGCTTCCAGCTCTGAGTGAGAATGTGGATTGAGATCACTGGGGGGGGGGAAATGGGCAATCGTGTGAACTGCTCCTGCAATCCCGACATAAGCAGTGCGGCCAAGAGCCGAGCTGAAGCATCCGTAGCAGAGTAATCTGATGTGATGTGATCTGCAGACAGGCTCCCATCTCCCTTTTGCTAGAGGCCGAGGTTTTCCCTATTAGATTGTAGACATTCAGAGCGCGGCCATCCGAGGTGAAGGTGTTTCCAGAGCATATGAAGGAAGTTTGAGACAACACTGCCCCCTGCTGGGGACTGTGGGGGGGAAAAAAACAGGGCTTTCATCTTATAAATTAGACTCATCTGAAGTATTTAGTCCATCTGTCCATTAGCTCATAGTTAATGATTGTCCAGCTTCATGTCACCATAAATTATAAATTGTACGGATTTAATAGGAGAACTATCAAGAAAGACCTGGAACACTCATGGCTCACACGTAGCTTTATGTAATCTGTTTAACCACCATCATTTTGACCCGGATTGGGAGATTGATGGGATGCTGTTTAAGAAATAGGTTTGATTTTTTTTTAACCTTAGCGCTCAAAATCCTAAAATATTTGGTTGATATTCGGTGGAAAAAAACGAGTCATTTTTTCACAAATATCAAAGCCACAGATACAGGAAGCATTTACAGGTTGAGGAGGTGACGTATGTGACCTTTAACACCCCCCCCACACACACACACACACACACACACACACACACTGAGGTGACCTTTGCCCTCTCTCTCACCTGTGACCCTTTTTTTTTCCACCCATCTTTTCTCCCACTTTGCTGCAGGGACTCTTGGCCCTTCCGGCCCTCTTTAAAACTGCACCCCTCCCTCAGGTAACACATTGTGCAGCATGGTCCGACACGCTGTCTGTCCAACATCTACCAGCCAGCAGCAGCAGCATCATCATCATCATGATCATCATCTTAGACTCCTCTGCTCTCGCTCATTCCCGTCATGACAAGTGATGGAGCAGCCTAGCCTTCCCCAGCTCCCTCGTCTCCCTGCTGCTGTCATTTAAGGCTGCCTTTAACATTCATCATGTGACAAAAACGCTTCCCTGGTTTCGCTGCTTGTGGAGAGACGAAGCACAGTGTCTAGTACAGTGGTTTAGATCTCTGCGTGTGCTCTTTTTGACCGCCACCTCTTACTTGTTGCAGAAAGAGCAGCACGGGAGACGGACCCAGAGACGGAGAGCTGGAGGACCTGCACGAAGACGAGCCCGCCTCATGAGACCTCCCACAGAGCTTTGTCCCCTTTACCCGTGTGTCCCCCCTTCCATCCACCTGTTAATCAAATCAATGACGCTGGACAGACTGATGGTTTGGAAGACCCGCTTCATGGCTTTTGTTTACGCTCCAACTCTGCTCGGCATCTTTTAGCGTCCCTGCCCTCTCCCCATCTTACTCCCCACTTGTCCGCTGAGTTGGATCCACAGTATTCGCAGCGCAACCCTTTACTGATGTGACTGGCATCAGTGAACCAAGAAGAGGAACTCTGCAGCGGGCATTACACTGCAATGCTCCAACACTCTGGAGCTCAGATATTTATTTCTTTTGATATTTCTGCATGAATGACCAGTCGGGCCTCATCATCTGACTGCTTCGTGCCAGCTGTCCCAGTCAGAGCCGGCTAGAAAGAGCGTGGCCCATCACAAACATGTTAATTAAACTATTATCTGTTCAGTACACCACGGGTGGGTGGGTGGGGGGGGGGGTTGATATTGCACATAAATGTCTCGAGGTGTCGTCAATGTTATCGTCTCACTGTGTTCGTGCCATCGGTAGCTTTTTACTTTGGTGCTGAAGAACTTCACGGTCCTCTCGCCTGACTGGGTGAACTTCTCTGACCGGAAGGAAGAAGGAAGCCAGCTGTTGAAGAGAGGATGGCTCATTTGAACAGGCTCTGGTCGCGGTGTAATGTGCAACCGCTTCTGTGTTCAAAGTTGTTTTGCACTCTCGACTGCCTGCGGATTCATGCTCTGTAACGTGTCTCTTCCTATCTCGCACTACGGTTTGATTCGGTTTATTGCGAGAGAAACCGCAGCTTTTGGAAGTGAATGTCGTAAAGCAAGAGAAGAAAAAGGAACACAAACTACTATTGCATATCTCTTTCAATATTTTCTCTTAAAAACTAGAATGCATTATTACACAACAGTCTTGTATGCAGAGCTCATTTGAAGGCACGAATAATCTCATTGTCCAGGATAAACATCAATGAGTGCTCTTCCACGAGAAATTCATAAAACTCCTCCAGGTAAAGGAGGCCATGGGGGGGGGTAAAGCAGCGAAGCTCTACTCACCATACATACATACTTTTTCAGGGTTACTGAAAAAACGACTCCAACTCAACCGAACCGGGTACAAACCGAACACGGAGGGATCGGCACAATGTGAATGAGAAAGCCTTTCACGTGCTGCTATTGGCATTGTGTGGCGCCGGGGAATGTAAAAGCTTTACTCGTTTTGATTTGATTGTTCAGTAAGAGTCTGTAATGTGTTTTATAAAGGGATGAATTCCTGTGTGAAATGATGTGTCTGCATGTCGGAAAGGAATCATTGACTGATGTTGGCCCTTCTCTGTGCTGATGACCACGTCGGCGAAAGGAGGCACTGAGCGCGGTTTAAGCTCCAAAGACTATGGAATGGTTTTGCCATTCTTATGAGCGCGTGGCCATCTTGACGTTAATGTGTCTGACGTTGGTCAGAGTGCAGTAGTGCTGTCGTCTTTGTCCTCTGTGTATATCCGGCATTCCTCTGCTTTTATGTTTTCAAGTTGACCATGTTGAAAAACAACTGAAACACTGTTCAATATTTGCACTTTTCCACTGCTCGATAAACATTTTACTTATTCAATATTTGCACTTTTCCACTTCTAGATACATATTTAAGTTATTCTTGTTATATATGTATATTACTGTCTAACATTGTAAAGTTTCTGTGTGGCTCACCTGTAAAGACCGTGTTGACTGTGTATCTGTCTGCTCTCAGTCTCCTGTGCTATTGTTCAGAAATCTGCATTTGGAAGCATTGGTACTTTTTTTTTGTTGATATTTTCTTTTTTATAAACTCAATTAGCAACTCTTTCTCCCTTCTGGGATAACCTGCTGCTTCAGCTGCAGTGACCAGATTTTACATATCCGTGTGACGATAGAATGGCTACAGTTATTCAAAGCTTTTAAACCAATTTCTATTACATTTGGTAAAGAATTATATTGGCCATTTGGAAAGCTGCAAAAGCACTGCTAAAAATGGGGCTACACTACATTTTTTTAAAGAATCCAGTCATTTTGAGCTCTTGAACAATTAGTTGTGACCGTGTTTGAATGGCTCAATGTATCAGCATAACCGTCACCTTTTGGTATCCGATCTGTCCAGATACAAATGAAATACACATTCAATTAAATCGTGGATCCTTGAGAAAGCCCTCGCTTAGTGCCGTAAATGTGGTAACAAAGAAAGAAACGTATGAGTTAGTTGCACCACAAGAAACTTTCATCATTTCAGGTCCTAGTTCGATCCAAAGGAGTGTGAGAGAGTGAGTTTGTACGTGCCGCTTGTGTGCTTGTGTGCCTGCAGCTTTTTGTTGTCTTGTGCATTTCTCTGTCCTTGTGTCGCTTGCATGGCACGTCTCTTTGGAATGCACTTGTTACAATGTAAATATGTACCAATATATATAAAGAAGCAATTTTTTGCATGCTTTTTGTACACCTGGAGATGATGAAGACAATAAAAAAGAACATCTGAATTCTCTTAACATGCTGTATGTATTCTTGTTTCACTACTGCGGGCAGGAGAAGAAAAAAAACAGTCGTGTTACTGTGCATCTTTTATTGAATTGCAGATCGCAAGGTGCACACGGGATGAGTCACTCCGTCTGTGATGTCATGGGGTAAGATACCCATGTTTTGACAAAAGCCAGAGACCGAAGCAATGGATGAGTTGTGAATCAATCCTGTATACACGGATGCATCAAAGTTTTCTTTTAACCGGCACGGATAAGGGTGGAGGCGGAGGTTACACCCAAAGAAACAATGGCAAACCAAGCTACACTAAATAAAACATTTAAAACGAAAGTACACGTATACAGACGAGCAATGCTAAAACTACAGTAACCGTCACTCGGGCTCACTCTTTAGAGCGGGGGATGTTGTTTGTAAAGGATGCCAAAGAAATAGAGGATACCAAGAAATGTCTTTTGGATTACGTCTTTTCCAATCCAGCGTCCATTTAGTGTGGAGGGGCCGGGGTCTTGTGGTGTCCCATGTCACTACGCCCTCAAAGGTTTCCTCACCGCTCACTTCTAGAAGACAAACGAACAAATGAAACATCAGCTATCACAAGCCTGCTGTTTTTTATTGTGTATAAATCTTACTTTATAAACTTTAGATACCTCTGTTTCTGTGCTACATGCCTCTGAGTCCGGGTCCTGTGGGGGAAAGAAGACATTAAAGCACTTGTTTGTAACTAAAACAAGGATTCTCCTAAACATCCCATCATGGAAAACATGGAGAATATACTCTACTGTTTGGACTTCCACTCACGTTGGACCGACCAGGGCCAGGGACTTGTCTTGCATTCGCTTTGAAGTTGTAATAGGTGCTTGTTTTTAAAGTGTATTGCTGTAACGATGTGAAATAAAGACAATGTTCTGCCTGTTTCAGTTAAATTGGGGAACAGTTTCAGCGGAGGGATGAGAGAAGGTTTCATGTGCCATCAGAGAGGCGTGCAGCAAGCGTAGGATCCCTGCTGCTGAGTGTTATGGGTGTAAGCAGCGAGGGGGGGCTGCTGCTGTGCGTCAAAAAGATGCTGGATAAAGAATTGCGCTGTGGCCGTTCACTTCAGCGAAAGGCCTCTCTGCTGCCTTCTTGTGTTCAGACTGAAGTTAAACGATCACAACAGCATGTATTTGTTATGAAGCTTACCTGTTTATGAGAGTCAGTGGATTTGAATTTCATGTTCTTGTAAAATTCTCTTTTCGGTAGCAAATGGAGCAGCACCAGGTCACATACCACGGTCGCCTACAACAGGAGATTTTTTACAGTATAAATACAAAGTATGCCACAGAAAATAAAGAGTCCGGCTCTCACATACCACTCCAAAGATGCCCACTCCGGAGCCTATCGCGGTCAGGGTGGGGATAATGTCGAACTTTCTGGCCTGTGAAGAAGGGAGTTCAGAGGATTCAGCATTGCCTTTGAGTATTTCTCAAATCGTAAATCCAAACGTCTAAACATGTTAAAATGTGCAGCTCACCAGTGACTGCACGATGATGTCGAACCTGATGCCAAACACTTTGAGAAGGGTTCTCTTCTGGACGTTCTCCAAATAATATTTAGCATACCTACATAGAGCCAAGAAGTTATCATTATTATATAATTTTTATGCCACTGCTACAGAGTCAATGACTATATCTCCACAACGCTCTGATTGATTGTATCCCAACCCCTTAAGGCAAGTTTTTTATTTTTGGTTTGGCTAAAGAAATATAATTTACTTGACTTTACCTGACTTGTGTTCAGACTTTCCATCAGCTGTATTTAGCTTTTTTTTGTCAGACCGGAGCAGCAAGTGACTAAAGTATCAAAACCTCCATTAAAAAGGTTGGTCAACATTTCGGGAAATATACTCTTTCAATTTCTAGTGTACAGAGATGAAGAGATGCTTTCCAATCTGTCCGATCATAATGAAACTACGGCCAGCAAACGTTAGCTTAGCAATAAGACGAGAAACAAACAGCGAGCGCACAAAGTTCACCGCCACAAATTAACACATTTTATATTGTTTGTTTAACATACTCAAAAAGTGAAGTGTAACGTTTCATAGTTTTATAGAGTGAAACCTATAAAACCAGACAAGCTTCCCCCCCCCGTTTCCATCGTTACACAAAGCTACGCTAAGCTAAGCTATGCTAAGCTAAGCTACGCAAAGCAGTTACTTGGTTCTGCTTTAACACGCAGACTTGTGTATCTTCTTATCCAACTAACAGTAAAAAAAACAAGTGTATTTCTCACAATATTCATATTGCATGAGAAGTATTTCTGCTGAGTCCATTTCAGTTCAGGGGAGCACGTCTGCACACCTGAAATTGTAGCCAACTGATGCTCTGGCTTTGTCAGTCTCAGCAGGGTTTCCGTACAGACCATGAAAGTTGTACTTTGGTCTACAGTGTTTTACATCCTTGTCCAGATTACATGTCCAGTCGATCACAATGCCAATGGCCCCTCCCTGCCGGGACACAAGCGCATCACACACAGTGCAGCTCTCCATGGTAACGTGGGGGAAAGAAAACATCAATAGACAACACTGTGACTTTGAATCTGCCTTTCAACCTGAACAATACTAGTCAGTGTTGAGTAAAGATCATCGGACTCACCACTCGGGCTATGGTTTCGAAGTTGAAGCCAGACAGTCTAACTATGTCTCCCAGTCTGAATATGGGACACAATGGAGAATCCTTTGGATCATGAAGGCATTTGCTTATGTATTCAGCATCCACGTCCTCCACCAGGTTACTCCTGAGAGCACAGTCGGTCAGCACATAAGACGTGGTTATCGATAGTGCCAGCGGTCCATGGAAACATTTGCATCATCCATCATGAATGAAGTAATCACCTTGAAATGCCAAACATGGGGAAAGTTACAGAGTTTTTGATGAACAGTGTGTAGTTCTCTGCTGACAGCAACATAGCAGGACTAGATGAGAATAAAGAGAAGATGGACAGGTATCAAATCCAGCATGTCGAATCCAGAAATCAATTACAAACGCTATTTCCCGGGTACAGAGAATTAGGTAATCCAGAAAGTGGACGCCACCGAATCATCACAGATGAAATAGTCACATGTTCTGCAGTTTGATTCATTCAGTGTGTCCACATACTCTGGTATGTCGTGATCGTTCTCCACGGGGCACCAGGCCAACACCTCGCAGGTCTTAGTGGCCTTCTCACAGACTCCTGTCATTTGCCCTTGAAACACAAACACGAGTTCATCACCAACACCAGACACAAAACTTTAAACACGATACTTATTTTTCGAGCAGTAGCAAAAAGAAGGACTGCAGGGCGTTTACTTTCATCGCCGTATCTTAAATTAGCATCACCAGCAAGCGAAAGCAAGTGCTGAAGTAGCTCTTTCCTTTATCTCGTCACGATCCTAACACAGATTCTCACTCCACGCCATCAGCTTTGTCGCTATCGGTTTCTAAAGCAGGTGATTGCTCGCTCAGCTTCAATCTCTGACCGCTCACTGGAGCCCAGCAGTCTGTTTACTTGTTGACTTGTCCACGAGCACAGAGACAGCGCGGCCCCTCTAAAGCGACAGCGGCCCGTCGGGGTGAATTTGATTGGTCTGAGGCAGACAGATCTAAAGCTGTGGCTGACATTGGTCTTATTGAAGTTAATGTTGGCACCAAAGGGCTCAAAGGGACGGAAGTTAACCCAGAGACAATACATGAATGTAGCTGCTCTTTTAATTCCCCCCTGCTACGTTTGGACCTATTAAGGAAGCTCTTGTCTGAATGGTTATTTGTGCTTAACGTCTCTGTGTGCTTATGGTTTGTGCCGGCTACTAAGCACAAGTGTTATTGTGACATCTGCGATTGTATACACAGTACATATGTCTACTTGCCTAAGGCAGGGCTTTACTTCACTGCTCTACAAACCGTTGGGCGTCCCAAGACAAGACTGAGGTTGTTGATTTTAATCCTTCTTTTTTATCTTGGTGCTGGAGAAGAGCAATGCAGCGGGCTACATCTAAATGTTTACCTTAGCTGACACGCTGTGTTTTAGTTTCTAGTGTTTGAGTCGGTCCGATAGGAGTTCTCAGCAGGCACAACCCTTTCTGTAAACACACTGCTCCACAACCTTGCACGATTCTCTACCTTCCCCTTCGCTGCATCTTGCTTCTGTAACATGTGGCTCTAAAACGTTTTACGTTTGAGGAGGGCTGAGAAGCGATGGCAGACAGCAGAGAGCCGAAGGTGTCAGATGGACAGACGCTTCAGTGAGGACTGCTGATGTCTCACACTGTCAGGGCGTCAGGATTTACCGTGTCCCGTACGTTTGAATCTCCCTTCTTCGCAGTCAGAGTCTGAGCTGCAGTTGTGGCTTCCCTGGAGCTGTTCCAAAGCAAGAGATTGTGGTCAGTGGGAGGACACGACATGCATTTAACTGAGGCGTATGGCGGCATAAAGAAACTGCTGTTTAGGTCATCTTGAGGCCATTGATTTAAAAAAAGTCGCTATCCGACAGCTACACAATCACTCAATTACAGAAACAGTCTTGGAATGAGGGGCATTTCCTTTTTAGTCTGACTATTTTTGGAAGTAGTGAAGACAGAGAGGGAAGGGGAAACTAAGGGGAAAACGATTGCACCTACCTCTGGACACTTCCTCATCTCCTGACCTTCAGTTATTATGTAGTTTGTCATCACCACGAAAGATGAGTCTCCCTGAGGTGGATGATATTAAGTAATATGTTAATTATTATCTCTTTTCTTTATGCCATAAAATGACTAAAGGTTACTAAACATTCTAGGCAGTATGCTAAAGTTTATTGCAAACAGCTTATCAAACATTAGTCGATTGTGTCCCACTGGTGACCTGCTGAGACCACCTGCACTTTCAAGTGTCCCCAAAAGTGGATTTTCATGGTGTGTTTTTAGCTTCACGCAACAAAAGACATTTACTTCTTCTTTCATTTTGTATACAACGTGCTTGTGTTATGCGCTTGCAATAAGTTTACTTTATGTTATCTTTAGTTATCAATCTGTTGCTCAAAAAGAAGTGAAAATGTGATTTACAGAAGGTTACAAACCTAATATTATTCATGGATATATTTTAACAAGCTACGCTTTTATTATAATTCCATGGGAATTTTCTTGATGTACGATGGTGTCACGGTGTGGTTCACTTCATTACATTACATTACATTACAGGTCATTTAGCAGACCCTTTTATCCAAAGCGACTTACATTACACTTTTAAACCCAAGGCTTTGTCACATTTTTGCCCGGGGAGCAATTAGGGGTTAGGTGTCTTGCTCAGGGACACTTCGACGTGGAACATGGGGCAGCCTGGAATCGAACCAACAACCTTGTGTTTCAACTTTCAACTTCATGTTATATTTTGTAGTTTTCGTGTCCCTGGGTAACTTCACTTCCTGCCTTGTCATGTCACCCCCTGTGATTGTCTAATAGATTCCACCTGTGTCCAATCACCTGCACCTCCCTAGTGTATTTAAGCCATGTGTGTCTTTTGCCACGCATGTCCTTGTCTTTTGTCGCGGACGTTCGTAGTTTCTGTCTCCCGTTTTTCCCCTGGTTCCTGTGAGTTTTTGCCCCTTGGTCTTTTGCTTTAACCTCTTTGACAATTAAAGTCCCTTTTGTTTTGAACTCTGCGTCTGAGTCCTACCTCCCCGCAATCCCTGACAGATGGTACAATGATCCCCTACAATACGCATTGGTTGTGCTATGGACCATTAAGTTGATCCTCATATTCAAAACATAATGTGTGATCCATTTTAATTTAAGTTTCACTCAAACTAAACCACTAAGAGAGATCAGCTCAGTGTGAGGCCTAAAGAGACATTTTCATCCTGTAGGTTGGGTTCAGCATAGCAAACCATGTGCAAAACCAACTGAAAAAAAAAAAATATATATATATATATATATATAGTGTTAGACCAGAGTCTCTCTCTCTCACATTTAGTCATTTTAAGTAAAAAGATTGAGCCAACACATGTTTTTTAAAGCCCGACTACACCTCAAATTCTGTCATGATTCTAACTGCCAACCAGCTTTTTTTAAAGCGCTTCGGCGTTGCTTGTGTCTGACTCCATTCAATGTTTATTCACTCCGACAGTTTGATTCGCTTAATGTGAGTATTGACTTCCCAACATCTGCTTGGAATCCAGATGTATCACCTCAACCATGGTCAGTGACTTTTAACTTCTTGGCCAATCGGGAGTCGCGGCTCAGCCACCAACCCACCTGTGGTGGGAAGACGAAGTCGGCCTCGTCCCACACTCTCTCCTTTCCATTGATGCTGGTGTAGCCCACTCCTTTCATTTTGGTAAAGACGGAGCTCACTGCTATGTCTGTGGACTGGTAGCCTTTCTCGTAGATGAACACCCACCTGCGGGAGACACACAGTAAGGCATCAGGTCTGTTAGGACCTCGGACTCCGCTGCAGGCAGTGATGTGGACATTCTGCACCGCAGTCCCAAATGCAAGCAGTGTCCCTCAAGGGGACACCTGTGCAGTGTGTTATTTGTTGTGCAATGTCACATTGGTTGTACCAATCTGACTTATTGCATCTCCGAGTGCAGACATTTACTAATGCATAATTCAAAGTAATAACTTGACCAGTTGAAAATATATAAGAATGCTCCATCACAGGGTTGAAGCAAACTCTTTGAGTATTACAACCAATAAGTACCGCTTGTACCACAGCTCTGGCTCATCATTTTATCAGCAACTGTTAAACTTCACTCAGAGTGTTATATTGAGGAATCTGACTATTATATTAATATAACAGCTTCCATGTGTATCAGTGCAAACAGATACAGTCTATATCCTTAAGCAAATACAATTAGGATAAAAATAACTAATTTTCTGTTATTAAAAGAGCAGCCAGCGATTTTAATTTGACATTTGTTAAGCTCAGCAAACATCTCCTCCTGTTCATACATGCAGGAACGAGCCACACGAGCAACACAATTCTATTGTTCATTTCAATCTATTGTTTGAATAACGTTGGGATTAGCTCAAGTGTGGATTTTTTTTGTTCATTCATCACTAATCTCAGCAACCCCAGTATGGTGGGAGGAAAAGGCCTTCGCACATCAAGCAGCCTCTTCCTCCTCCTCCTCCTCCTCTCTGCTCTGCTTCTGTCGCAGCAGATTCACATCTCACTTAGACTGCTGTTTTGGGAGATTTCATTCCAGATTCATTATGTCACACTCATGGGTTTCTTTATTCTATTTATTTACCTCCAATTCCTCTTGAACGCAAGCACCAACTTGATATTTATTAAGCTCAGCAAACATCTCGTCCTGTTCATACATACAGCCCTGCTTTTGAGAAACAAACAAAGTGGCTTGGAACGAGCCACACAACACTATTCCCGCCAATCAGCAACAAGGAGACCCATGCTCGTGAGAAGGCTTTGCATGGTGTGTTCAGAGTTAATGTTTCTGAAACAAACTCGTAGATTTAATCTTCTATTACGGTTGGAGAAACGTGCAATGGTTGATGTTGCAAAACAAATTGTTAGGTAGAGGGAACAAAACGACTTGGTTAAAGTTACCATCATTTGTGTTGTAATGTAATAACGACACCATTAAAAGTAAGAACTGTAAGAGTTGTAACAAGGTCGCTAAGGCCCAAGTGAAATGTCCAAGTGAAGCCAAAAGTAAAGCGCATTTAGTAGTTAAGTGTCGTTAGTCACAAGACTTCCATGCGTAGACACTCACATGACTCGAAAATGAACGCCTGCTTTTCTCTAAAAATCGAACGAAATGGTTTTGTCACCTTGGCCGTCCTTTGGAGACAGAAGTTTAATTGGCATGTGACGACACTATACATGCAGTGAGCGGAAGTTGACACTGTGTTTCTGAAAGATAAGACACTCGAGCAGTACCAATAAAATCATGGCTTGAAACTTCGGACTATTGATCAAGCGTCATTGGTTTAACAGAAATTAACAGAACAGCAGCCTCGACAAACTGTAATTAATTCTTGTCACTTTTAAATTGACAAAAATCGACATCTATTGTTTGAATAATGTTGGGATTAGCTCAAGTGTGGATTTTTTTCTGTTCATTCATCACTAATCTCAGCAACCTCAGTATGGTGGGAAGAAAAGGCCTTCGCACATCAAGGAGCCTCTTCCTCCTCCTCTCTGCTCTGCTTCTGTCGCAGCAGATTCACATCTCACTTAGACTTCTGTTTTGGGAGATTTCATTCCAGATTCAGAATTGTATTTCACTCTGCAGTCTGAAGCATGTTTCTGGTAATTGCTTTTTACACAATATATAAAACAGCTCCTCGTGTGTGGGTGGAGCATGTATATACGTACAGTTTCTTCCCAGTGCACACCAGCTGTTATTCCTATAAATCCTGGGTAGACACATGGAGCCACACAAGGAGTAGCCTCACTCTGCAGAAATAAAAAAGTTCTGTGCCCCATAAAACAAACCTGGAATATTCCAATTAATGATTATCACCTCAGGTGAAACTCAGATCCTTTGCTTCAGTAAAAATACCTATAAAATAATGTAGAAATACTGTCTTACAAGTAAAGTCTGACATTCTAAATCCCATCAGTTAAATGTAGGTATGTTAAGCAATAGAGTAAAAGCCACTCTATTAATTTATTGGAAAAGGCCCCAATATGCCTCAGCCTGTCCGAGGAGTGGCCTGTTCATCACGGGCCACTCCTCGCGTTGTGGTGCAATGATGCGAACACTCACACAAGTGCGGGCTTGACAAACAGTTTGTCAACAGTTCCAACTAACTAAAACAGAAATGCCACATCAGATCACAAAAGATAAAAAAGTTTCTCTCCCCTTTACAGGATGAGGATCCAGGAAACCACTCCAGCGTGTTAAAGCGTGATTTTGGACACATCGAATCCGTAAGATAAAAAGCATTTTGCATGCTGTTTTTTTATCTTTTTACTTGAGACACGCACATAGCAAGATGTCACGCTGCAGTCCCATCTGCCGTCACTCAATCTGTCATTACTCTACGCCTGTTTGCAGTTGCTGTTTGCTGTGTCAACAGTATACCTGGCGAGTTACAGCCTGTGTGTCTGACCACCTGAAGCCAAGTAAAAAGTCTTTATAAAGAATGTAAACAGCATGTGATGCTGTTTTGAAAAAGAAAAGACTTAAAACTGCTTAATGTCGGCCACGTCACTTTGAAGCTCCCCAGCTAGCCGAGCTGTCACAATGTGCAGGGTCACAATGAAAAGTAGTTTAGCCTCACACGCCGTACGACGCACTTAGAACATGCCAGCGCAGACTGACGTTTCCCCGGTGCCCCTCTGAACTCTACAGGAAACGAGGGGGGAATGTGATGGCTCTTACCCAATGATGTAGGCCAGGACCCCCGCCTGGATCACACGGCACGCAACGCCCACCCTCCTGTTCCTCACCAGCACCTGGCGAGGGGTCTCATACTCAAAGAAGAAGTCAGAGAGAGTGTTGGTGATTTGGCTCTTCATCTTCTCTCATCAGCTGGCCTGCGCAGAGAGGAGGGTCTCTCTCTCTCTCTCTCTCTCTCTCTCTATCTCGGTCTCTTCTTTCAGCCCAATTGCAACACTCTGCTTTAGTTCCTCACTGGTGGTAAAGGTCCTTTCTGCCTCTTCTCATAAGTAACGTCTGCCGCGCTTTATGACAAGTCCTCATCTGTAGGACTTCCTCCCTCCCTCTCACTCTCTCTCTCTTCTGTCTCTCCCTCTCACTCTCTCTCTCTCTCTCTCTCTGCAAAGTGTACTCTGTTTTCCCTCAGTCACATTATGTACCTAACCCCAGTCATATCGCTGTTGCATCTTATGACTTTTTTCTATTGCAACCTATTTTAGTTTAATGTAGCATCACAACATTTCTCAAGAAAAAACAGCTGTGGAATTCTTGACTAAAACAAACAACACAACTGTCACACAAGCGCTGGACCGCCTCCTTGATGCCAATCAAACCTTATCGTTTCCACCAACGCTTTGCATCCTGTGGCAGAGACACAGGTCACAAAAGCCCAACACAAACCCCCAACACAAACAGCGTGTATTCCATGGTTCAGTTTATTTGCCCGCTCTTGCGTCAGACATTAAGCCCCTCTTATGTTTTATCATCATTTTGTATGAGAACCACTTTGGATTTCTGCGCCCTCTCAAAATGTTGCACTTTTTCCTCTTTCCGGTACTGCGTGGTGATTTGCATTGCTTATCTTGGTTAGAGAGGAGGAAATGCACATTCATAATAAAACTCCCATTTCGGGTTGCTTGAAATGCAATAACTTGGCCCTTCAGCAAAATGTGTTTCTCACTTTCTAATCTCCAGAGATTAGCAAATGGAACATCTTCTATTTGAATCAGGTTTAAAATTCAAACCTAAATCTGGTTAATGCCCATTCCAAATCAATATGTATTAGGGATCACCACGGCTGTGCTTAGAATCTGGTCGGATTGCAGGGATTTGGCAGGATTGCACAAACAGAGCCGCTGTGTCACAGTCTAAAATGAAGCAAACTGCAACTATATGTATTGGGCTAACTATATAACTAAACAACGAAAGTAAAAATAAAGCAATTAATAACTGACCGGGCGGCGCTGCGCTGCGGTTGAAGAGGAACCAACACGGCTCTTTTTTTTTTAGCGTGAGAAATTGGATGTGTGGCTTGAGTGCGTGCCTAAAGTGAGTGACTGTCAAGCTCGATGCGACCCTTGAGAGCCCTGCTGTTTCCACTGCATGTATTAATTGCTTAATTTCCTGTTTCTTAATAACCTGTCATTTGACCAAGAATATGGAACAGTTTGTTTTCAGTGTTGTGATTGGATCGTGGTATGGAAATTCATATTTGCTAATGTAATGAAAACATGTGATTTTCATTAGGCTACTTATTATTTACTTATAACATCTTTTCATTTAAGTCTATGCATACAAGAAAAGCAATAGATTGCTTTTAACTTTATTTTCAAAATATTTGTATCTACTATTTGTAATCCTCGATACAACCTTTCAGATCCGAAGATATTGAAAACATAACGTAATTAAAGGGTGTTATTTAAAAAGTATGCACCGTGGCGAACCCAGTGGACTTGTAAATGTACCTGCAAGTCCGTACTCGGGTTCAACTTTCCCAAAAGACGTTTGACGTGACGTCAGAAAACTGCGCCGAAGTGTTACCACGTGGGGGACATTTTTTTGCAGAGGTAGCAAAACATCCGCAGTGGCGCTTCGATGGTCTGTCAGTGAGCATGAGAATAACTTCAACGTTTATTTTGAACGTTACAAAAATCTCAAGAAAGAACAGCAAAGGTTTCGGTCCGAGGGTGACTTTTTCCAGACCATGCCCCACGACCCCGACACTCCTCCGGCGAAGAAATTCAAGCCGGGGTCTGTTTTTTTCCGACTCGATAGGAATAAACCTGGAATGCTGCTGCCTAGAAAGGGAAATCCCAGCACTCCAATAGAAGTCCAGAGGAAGCAGCTTCCAATATACCAGGCGAAACCTCAGCTGCTGAACCAGCTGAGACAGCTTCACAATGCTATTCTCATCGGTGAGGAGCTCAATGCTACTGAAAGCTAATGCTGCTACGGCGTTAGCCGCTGTTTGGCAATCAAAGGACCGAGCCACCGTAACGTAGAACAATATTGTCGCCTTGGTAAATATTACAGATGATGCAGCCCAGTTTTAATCACTACATTTCGACAAACTTTAAAAAAAAGTTCAAAACAAAGCCTTACTTCTTGTTGTAGCGTGGCTTGTTATATCAACTAACTTAATGTCAAATAAGTGAGTTGTATCACATCACCTACGGAAAAATTCTGCTCCACTGCTCTATAGCGCATCGCCGAATCTCCGTCTAACTTTGACCCCTTTTCTCTCGCCCATCAGGGGAGACTGGCTCTGGGAAGACCACTCAGATCCCCCAGTATCTGTATGAGGCCGGCATCGGGCGGCAGGGCATCGTTGCCATCACTCAACCTCGCAGGGTCGCTGCAATCTCTCTGGCAGGAAGGGTGGCGGAGGAGAAGAGGACCCAGCTCGGCAAACTGGTATGCACGGCGCTTTGTTAACATGCAGAATCCCATAAAGCTCATTGCGTGAATCTGTGAGGTCAAACACAGACTTTTTCCCAGGTCGTTTCTGCGATCCCGTCGGTTTACAGTGAACTGACCCAAACTTCTTTCCAGGTTGGGTACACGGTGCGCTTCGAGGACGTCACCTCCTCGGAGACCAAGCTGAAGTTCATGACCGATGGGATGCTCCTGCGCGAGGCCATCGGTGACCCCCTGCTGCAGCGCTACACCGTGGTGGTCCTGGACGAAGCCCACGAGCGCACCGTGCACACGGACGTCCTGTTCGGCGTGGTTAAGACTGCTCAGCGCAGGCGCAAAGAGCTGAACAAGATTCCCCTGAAGGTGGGCGTTCTGGTTTTCCTGGCTGCGATGAGATCTCAAACACGTGCGCTAATGAGCTGATAAAATCTGGTGTGTTGATCTGTTGAAGCATCTCTGCATTTTACCCGCACAGGTCATAGTGATGTCAGCCACAATGGATGTGGATTTGTTCTCCGAGTACTTCAACAAGTCACCTGTGCTTTACCTGGAGGGCAGGCAGCATCCCATCCAGATCTACTACACCAAGCACCCCCAGTCCGACTACCTGCAGGCTGCGCTCGTCTCCATCTTCCAGATCCATCAGGTGCGGGCGGGGGACCGGGAAAACAATTCAATCTGATGTCTAATTCCCAGGCTAATTCATTTTAATACCGGAATATTTCTTAGTTTTTACCAAACACAACCTGCTTCAGAAAGTTAATAACATTTACCAAGTTTATTGCAGTTTCATAATTAAAGCGACATGGATAAATAAATAAAAATATAACCCGTAGGAGCGTTAGTTTTGCAGATTCTCAGTGCTCTGACAGAACCTGAGCATAACAATCTTTGTTCACAATATGATCTCCATGTGTACGTAGCTTATGCTTTCCTAAAAACCTCAATTACATTTTTGAGGCTTGTTTAGTAATTTAGTTTGTCATTGGCCCAAATCAAGAAAGGTAATGTGATATTAAAGCCCGCTGCTCATTGTGGCTCTGGTTTGTTTGTGAGCAAAGACTAATTCTGTAGCAATAAGCAAAGTCACTTTGCTGCAGGGCCTTTTTTTTCTCCTCCTTATTGCGCATCCCGTCCGCTCCACCATATCCCATTCTTTCCCTTTCACATGCACGCGACCACCACGTGTGACGTCAGGCAGCAATCCTACGATCAAGGTTAAAATCTGTTCCACCCTGAGGGTCCCACCAAAAGATGCATGACCGAGCCACAACCAACTTCCAACAGGCGTATTGTTTACTCCTCACAAACACCCGTCAAAGCATTAGTCTTTGCTACAATTCCCATTGATCCGTTTGAAATTTTTCCGCTGTTTTTGCATGGCAATACGACCACCCGCCATCTTGTATGACACCCAGCGTTTTGTTGCTTTTGAATGACGTCAGGGGTCAAATTTGACAACCAATCCTCAAGCATCATTTTAAGCTCTACCCATTTTGCTTTTGCGTGGCCATGGGAGCTGTCAATCATTTCCGCATGGGTTTAGTCGCATCCAATGGGATCACGCAATTCAGAAAAGTGGTTGAAATGGGGAAAATCAAAAAACACGATTCTCTCTCTCGTGTCAACCTGATGCATTGACTTCATAGTTGGCCTGGTGCAAAGGGTTTCGTATTTAATCACTCATGTGTAATCGCATATTGGACTTTTTCGTTCCCTCCCAGAAAAACACAATCCTGCAAGAAAAACCATCTTTTCCTGTATTCTGTGATGATCGTTCCTGACACATAAGATAAGAACATAAGATCTCCTTATTGTCTGCGCGCAGGAGGCCCCTCCGTCCCATGATATCTTGGTCTTCATGACGGGTCAGGAGGAGATCGAGGCTCTGGCGAGGACATGTCGGGACATCGGCAAGCATCTGCCAGACGGCTGCGGCCCCATGCTGGTTATCCCTTTGTACGCATCGTTGCCCCCGGCACAGCAGCTCAGGGTCTTCCAGTCGGCTCCTAAGGTAAAATGAGTGTGCAGAAAAACGGTACTGTGGACAAAGGGGACATGTTTGTGGGAAGATATAGCCCACGTTGTGCTCAATGCAAAAACGTTTTCAAAGCAAGTTTGTCTCTTTCAGTCTTATTTGAAGTGTCTTACTACATGTATCAGGGACTTAAATGTACATTCAATGTGTACATCATGGAGAATTTTGTCCTTTCTACCATTTCCAGGGATGTAGGAAGGTCATCCTCTCCACTAACATTGCCGAGACGTCAGTCACAATCTCTGGGATCAAATTCGTCATAGACACGGGGATGGTGAAGGCCAAGCGCTTCAACCCTGGTCAGATTATCCAGTCTTCACACACGCTCCAGCACAGCATTTTATTTAAACATGAATCCTACATAATGCCATTAATCACAGAAGAAGCCACAGCAATCCTGCAGTGATTGCTGTGGCTTCTTCTGTGATTAATAAAAGGCAACTATGTACGTGTATTCAAGTACTGTATTTCACAGAAAGAGAGGCCTCTGGACTCTGAATGATTGATTTAATTGACTTCATCAATGTGATTGCTCATAGCAAAATGTAGGAACATCTCTATAATTATATCCTCACAGTGGCCTGTACTTTACCTACGGTTACATATACTAGTTGCTCGGGGGTAACTGTTCCTGTCCCTCAGACAGCGGCCTCGAGGTGCTGGCCGTGCAGCGGGTCTCTAAAGCCCAGGCGTGGCAGCGAGCGGGCCGGGCCGGCAGGGAGGATTCCGGCTCCTGCTACCGCCTCTACACCGAGCAGCAGTTCGACAACCTCATCCCCATGACGGTGCCAGAGATCCAGAGGTGCAGTAGGACATCTTTATCCTTTACACCAGCGGCTCCCAGACTCAAGAATGCCGCGGCCCAATTTGAAATCTCAAAATCTTTCGCGGCCCACCCAAACCTTTAATCACAACTCTGATCAAAACATAATGATTAAATGACCTTAAGAATTTAACCAAAATCAAACATCCGCGAGCAAAAGTCCGTCTCCGCGAGGTATTTGACTTTGACTTTTCTACGCGCTCGCTGTTGTTCTTTTTGACAGTAAGGTGGAGACGGTGCTTTCAGGGTCCGATCGATGCTGCGAGGTGCGTCCGCTCCCGCCGTCCCCCTCGCCATCCACGCCTTAAATCTTTGGCTGCTTTTAGAATAACTTATTTCCCCGTTAAGATGGTTCAGCTACTGTAAAGAAAAGGGAACTGTCTCTCGCTCTAATCTCATTAAGTGCTCGGCACGAACGACAGCTTTGTTTCTCCGACGCGCCCTGAAACAAGCTCCATATCTCACGCGATTGAGCGCCGCTCAGCATCTTGCCGTCGTAGACCGACAACCAGTATGGATCAACCGATTAACCAATTGATCCATATATATATAAGGCGCTCCGGATTATAAGGCACTGTCGTTTGAGAACATTAAAGCCTTTTAAGTGCGCCTTGGAGTGCGGAAAATGCGGTATATTTACTTTAATATTACAAGAGGGCGCTCCATTTGTTGAACAACGACAGGCGGACAAGAGCAGCCGTTTAGAAACGAGAGCTTTATGGTTTTATTAATCTGTCCGTTTAAATTGTTTGTGCTTCATCAACTAATGTTTCACATAACTAATGTGCCGCATCATAATTTTTTTTATATTAATTTCAAACTTTTAAAAATTGAAAATTAAAAAACGTTATTTATTGTAAATGACCTCTCGCGGCCCACCTGCAGTACCTTCGCGGCCCACACTTTGGGAATCGCTGCTTTACACAGTTAACAGCTTCCACCACGTGTAGATACTGTCAGGTCAGCAGAACTGAACGACGGCGATTCTGCGTGTACTTGCAGGTGCAACCTTGCCGGCGTGATGCTGCAGCTCATGGCTCTGGGGATTCCAGACGTGATGAATTTTGACTTCATGTCCAAGCCCTCGCCCGGTAAAGTGCTATCCATCACCGGCATCGAATGTTGCCCTGTAGGCGTGGCGTTGTGACCTCGCTATGCTGTTTTATCCCAGAGGCTGTCCGTTCGGCTTTGGAGCATCTGGAGCTGCTGGGAGCCTTGGAGAAGAAGGAGGGGCAGGTTTTCCTCACCGCTCTGGGAAAAAAGATGGCGAGCTTCCCTCTGGAGCCCAGATATGCAAAGGTAAAAAAAGAACAAGAACAAAACACACCACCACACGCACGTCTGTGTCGCACACTCTGTTGAATCAGATAATGGTGTGACGTTTCCCTGTCCTCGTTTCTTCCCGGCCTGTAGACCATCCTGCTGTCGCCAGACTTCTCCTGCGCTGAGGAGATTTTGAGCATCGTATCTCTGCTGTCGGTGGACACAGTGTTGTTCAACCCTCCCGCCCGGAGGGAGGAGGTGCTCGCCGCACGCAAGAAGTTCTGCTCCAGCGAAGGAGACCACGTGACGCTGCTCAACATTTACAGGACTTTCAAGAAAGTCAGCGGTAACAAGGTGAGCGGAGCTGGACGAATAAATGTGTGCGTGACAAAGCAAACTCCCACAAACAACTTCCTGTTGATGAGCTGCATCTGCTGTTTCAGGAGTGGTGTCGGGAAAACTTTGTCAACAGCAGGAACATGGGTCTGGTGAAAGAGGTCCAGGCTCAACTCAAAGACATCTGCCTTAAGGTACGAGTCTGAATACCGAGGATGTTCTCTCTGGGAAAAATCACCTGAAAATTCAAATCAGAATCTGGGAATCCGTTGGACCTTGTTCATCACCAGTGATGTCGCCACATACTGCAACTTCTAACTATATATATATATATATATATATATATATATATTTATTAGGGGTGTAACGATTCATTTTAACAACGATTCGATTCGAATCGCGATTCATGGTTGCCGATTCGATTCATGGACGATCTGGGTTCATTTAGAACGATTCGATTTGATTCAGTGACTTGAAATCGATTCAGTAACTTTACTGGACAGTGCAAGCAAAGTTTCCGAGATCCCTGTTGTTTCTTGTAAGGAAATCAATTAATGGCAAATTTATTAACCTTTTATCTGAAGTGCCATTTTCAATGTAAACATTACACAATAATTACACAATGTTTGGATCAATTTACAGAACCCCGGATTTTCAACCACATTGTAGGGTCGCATGTCTTTACAGATAAACTTGGCAACTGTTGGTGGTATGAAGGCTCAATACTCCCCTCTGCCTGTGGGTGGCGGTACGTGCTAAAGTGCTAAAAAACAAACAAACAATTATCCATAATGTTTTTGTACTTAAATCTAATGTGCAGTTTCCAAGTATCGATACAATCGATTATGTACCATTTCAATCGATTTATAATCAATATATGTCATCCAGAATGCCGATTTGCAGAGCACAGATCGATTCAGTTGGATCGCAGGAATATTAATCGATTCAGTGAATGAATCGTTACACCCCTAATATATAAATATATATATACACAATTAGAAATATCTAATGTTTGAGGTAATGCGTCCTGTTGTGCCTGTTGATTCGCCAGCTCAACGTGAAGCTGGAGTCGTGTGGGTCGGACACAGGGAGCCTACGCCGCTGCCTTGCCCACGGGATGTTCGTCAACGCCGCCGAGCTGCAGCCCGACGGCAGCTACTTGGCTCTGGACACCCGTCAGCCCGTGGCTATCCACCCATCCTCCGTCCTGTTCCAGGCCAAGCCTGCGTACGTGGTCTTCAACGAGCTGCTGCACACGTCCCGCTGCTACATGAGGGATCTGTGCCTGGTGGACCCCGACTGGCTCCTGGATGCAGCGCCTGAGTACTTTGGCCGCAAACTCCACCCCAGCAAGAGCTAACCAATGGAGAGACGGGTCTGGAGTGAGCGCCGTCCCGTCCTTAAATCTCCCAGTGGGGATGAAGCTGGAATATGTCTTCTCGTCACATAAGATGGAATTGAATGAGACGCTCATCGATTTAATGTGCATATCGCAACTTAACACTTTTCTGAATAGTTTTCCTCTCTGGATCTCACTACCTGCCTGCTGATGAGCGTTTGACACGCATCCGTGCAGCAGAGATCTATGTATCGACGCCTCACAACTTTGACTCCCCTTAAGACTGTAATTCTGATTTCCTGAAGAAAAAAAATGCATCAATTTTTACAACATTTGCCTGCATTTTAACTGCATGGATGACCTCACCTGAGCTTTGCCTGAGATGATTTATCTAAGATAAACTGTTATCTTAGGCGATAACTGTCTTCGAAATGTTAGCTTCTCAGAAGCCCAAGTACAGCAGTCTTTAGCTTTTAAGTGGTCTTAAAGGTTTTTATATATGAAAAGACAGTAGATTTGTCTTAATCTCTGAGTTTATATAAATATAAGAAAATATGGAAATTGCCAAAGTTGAAGTTTGAATATTGAGTTTTTGTTTTTTTTAATGACCCACTGACGAGTACATTTTTCATAATTACTCTTCACTCGTCTTGTCAACTTGTGCATGCCTTCTTTTTCTAGCGATAGCACCACCATGTCCTCAGGCAAATGCACAGGAGGAGAAGCAGCATGCCTATACTGATAACATATGTATGCAATGCATGGAGACTATTGTCAACGATCTGATCCCTCAGGTCTTTCATACTTTGTAGAATGATACTCTTGCTATGTTTAGCAATAAAAAAATAATTATTTTACACTGGACTCAGGACAATATTTAACTCTAACCTGAATAAATGGCTATTTCTAATTGTAAAAATTGCCAAATGCATCTAGGGTAGAGACTTATGTTACAAAGAGGTTGGATGTTAAGTTCTATGTTGCTCATTTTCTTAAGATTTTTTTCACAAAGGAAAAGCAAACCATTTAAGATGTGCATGTAGTAAAATTTGTAAGATTATGCTAGCATTTGATAGTTTATAACAATTGTGTTTACAAAGTCTTGCATTGCAGCCACTGTCCCACAGAACAACTCTGCATGAGGGAGTAAATGTTTAAAGGAATTCTCCACTATTTTGCTTTAATGCAATGATATCTGTTAGTGTCTGTTAAAGGGCCTCTGTATTATCATCTGATCTGGAAACATTCAAATAAACGTTTGAATTGTTATAGAAAAGATTGTCATCTAGAATTTTTTGATACATTTTACATTTTAAAATAACTCAAAAGTAGAATGGAATTATGCTTTAATAATTTCAATTTGATATCCGTATACAACGTCAAAGGGAACATTTCATAGATTACTTTCATTGGGACACCTACTGCTCTCCTGGGCTAGTTTTTGGAAAACAGCGCCATCTCGTGGGAGGCGGTCGTCCTGTTTAAATGCTGCTGCACCGCATCACCCCTCTTTACATGGATCGATGCAACGCTTTTATCAGATGTCATGTCCAATGCAGCCACGATAGATTTTTTTAAATAACTTTGTCCTCGTCTTCAGTGGAGAACAGCAGAGACATATTTAATGTCTATCATACGGGGACGTAACACATATACGCATATTAATAATTGTGCCACTGGGGGCGCTGTAGGGTCTTTTGTGACACACTATTACATATTTTAAACATATGATTTAAACTGTATTATATTAAATCATTAATAATATAGCTGTTGTCGTATTATAGATGTTCTTTTGGCACAGGAAATACTTAAGCGACACGTTTTTATTTATTTTGCTTTTTATTTATTATTTCCGGTTCAGACGTCATAGTTAATAAAGGTCAATGTGTCCTTCCACACGTGTGTTCGGTGAGCTAGCCGGCGTTCGTTAACAGCGTCCTCATTCCGTCGTTTCCTGCGCGAACCCTTTTACGGTAACAGCCATGCTGAAGTCCGTTGTTCGTGCGGTGGGAGCCGCTGTTCGCGTCTCTTCAGCTACCACGTCCACAGCGCGAGCTCTGCCGCTCGCGTGCCCGACACTGGGCTCTCCAAGCCCGGCGACCACTCGGCCCTTCACCCGGTCTCTCTGGATGCTGAGCAACAAAGGAGCCTCGTCGGGCTACCGGCCCAAACTGTTCACTTCCAAAGCGTTGAATCCCTCGGTGTCTTGTGGATGTGGAGGACTGCACACAGAAGGTAACGATCACTACACCGTTAGTAGTCATTAAGAGACGCTAGCTAATGTCAGCTAGCTCCCGGCTACAGGTTAACCAATGCGGCGCTGGTCAGAGCGGCTCAATTATCTATCAAGTTTCTCATTTATAAAGCCGCTTAAACACAACACAAGCCTGACATTACTATCCACAGTGAGACCTCTCAAGGCTTAAGCTAGCATTCACCTTGAGACATCGTTCAGCTGTCTTCACTAGCAAAAATAATCAAATTAACAAGATATCTCCGTTAAAATACTGTCATGTGTTCTGTTATTTCTGTCTATGTTAACGTGTCAGCTCAGGTTGATGTTTAAAAATCTTTTTGAATTCAACTATATCGATATACACATCCTCGATGATTATTGATTATGGCAGACAATCGGATAAAAGTAAAAAAAGGTGCACAATATGTAATCAAGTATAGTATTATTGTCTATGCGGTTTTCATGCATCAGCTAACATCATGAGAAAGTCGTCCGAGGGGAGTGCTCTCCATGTAAAGAGCAGCTAACCAGCTTGCCTGCTGAGGTTTAAGCTTCTGGAAGCAAGTGGAACTTTAAAAAGGTTTGGACTTCTCCTCAAAACCCGTTTTGTCAAAATGATAAACCTTGTTCTACGTTTTCTCAAAAAAAGGTGACAAAGCGTTCGGCGCTTTCCTGTCCGATGAAATCAAAGAGGAGATGAAGATCCAGAAAAACAAAACCCTCCCTAAGATGTCGGGAGGATGGGAGCTGGAGATGAACGGCACGGAGGCCAAACTCGCGAGGAATGTTGCTGGAGAAAAGTGAGCCTGGTGCCGTCTGTCATTATCAAATCCTCGATGGCAAGTGGACTCGCTAACGAGCTGTTTGTTTGTTTGTCTTCCTTTTTTTTTTACAGAATCACTGTTACATTCAATGTGAACAACAGTATTCCTCCCAACTTTGAGGAGGAGGTAGATCAGGGACAGCAGAAGTCACCAGAAGAAGAGGTGAGTCGTGGGTTTAAAATGCATCTGACATGTAAGCAGTCATGACTGGATACTTGTTTAAAAACCCCAAATGATTGAAACATGAACATTTATAATGACATCACTTTCTTTACAGCCGGACATTGTGTCAACACCCAACTTTGTTGTTGAAGTAACAAAACAGGGAGCAAAACATTCCCTGGTGTTTGACTGCCATTACCCTGAGGACCAGGTAAGCGCACGGGCTGCATTCGCTTACACGTGCCCGGATGTCTCACACTGACTGCAGCGGCCACATCCGCCATCTTTGGTCTGACCGTTTGGGTCGAATAGAAAAGGCTGGATTTTCCGTTTTGCAGGTGAGTCACGGCGAAGGAGAGGAGGAGAGTGATATCTTTGCCATCCGCGAGGTCAGCTTCCAGCCTGAGGGCGACACCGATTGGAAGGAGACCAGCTACACGCTCAGCACAGACTCTCTGGACTGGGTGAGATTTTAGGGGCCGCAAACCGATTAATAATGCACATAATGGCGCTAACAAAGCGGCCGGTGGCTGGGTTAGATAGGAGTGCCGTTCACTTGTGACATCTTCATCGCTGTGGATTTTCAGGCCCTGTACGACCACCTGATGGACTTCCTGGCTGACCGGGGGGTCGACAACACCTTTGCTGATGAGCTGATGGAGCTGAGCACTGCGGCCGAGCACCAAGAGTACATCAAGTTCCTGGAAGACCTCCAAGGCTTTGTAAAATGTAACTAATGTGAAATAGATACTAAAGTTCTCTTGTCCTCAATACACATTCTCGCAGAGTTGCAGTTATGCTAATCCAGTAATGTTTTGCAAGAGACTGATCACTTGCTTTACGGTCTGTAGCATGTTGTTAGAAGTTGTCAGTGGGCTGCAAATGTATTCTCTTTACTAAAATGTGACTTTATTTTTCTGTAAGTTAAATGCATTTTAAATTAAATATAGAAAGGTCATAAATTATGCTGTTCTTGACTGTGTTCACTGGAGCTTAATTCCGTATTTGTGAATATCGTCATGCCAAAAAAGGGACAGTTTGGTCATGATGTAAAGTTGAAGAACTCCATGTAAATGAAACGGTTTCCAAAGCAATCATCACTCCAACGTGTGAGACAGCTTCTGGTTTTACATCTCGAGTCTGCTCTAACTAACCTTGTAATGGAGTTCTTTTGTTGATTTGACTGTCAGACCCTAAAATGTGATAAATATCTGTCTAAATATGAATGGCATGCATTAGCATGTCTTCAGAGATTTTAAGAGCAGTGTCCAATCAAACTCTTTGAAAGTAACATTGTATTTGATAAGATGGACAATTAAAAAGTCAAAGGGACCAAGCTTCTTAATATGAATACAGAAAGGTGACTTATATAGACCCTATAAGAAGGAATAAATAACAGTATAACTTATGGTATTCAGGTCAGAATTTAACCCGGTTTTATCTAAAGTAAAAGCCTGATATCCGCAGGTATTAAGGAGCTGAACACAGGCCAGTAGCTTCTTTCAATCTTCATGTTCTAACATTCCCTGTTAGCCTGACTGAACTGAAATGATTTCCACACATTCCAAAGCTTTGAATGAACATCCACTTCCACAGAGCCCACTTTGATGACTTCTCACTGGGGTTCGTTTTGAAAAGGAAAAGTTCCTTGAGCCTGCTGTTTCACCTTATTGCAGCGCGTTTTGACTGAATACTGCAGGAGGAGAGTTTAAGTGTGCCACTTTTCTCTGGCTGAGAAGTCCGTCCATAGCGAGCTCTTTGCTCTTTGCTTGCTCGAAAAACTTGAACCTCCTCGCTCGTGCGCTCTTATCTGCTCGCTCGCAGTTTTTCTTTTTGACTTTAAGGGGGCGACGCAGGTATCCTCTAGGTCTAATGCTTTACAAATCCCGTCTTTGGATGGGCTGGATTTCATCTCTGAGCGGACAGAAAAAATACAAGTAAAATACGGTATGAATAGTAGAATCTTTTGCGAAATAGAGAACCAATCTAATATGACCATCAATAGTTCTCAAGAGCAGTGATGCCTACAAATCTTCCGGGTACGTTGCTAGAGACAGATTTATTTTCTAAATGTTGCTAAATGACGTGATGTCATGTAATAACGTAAATCTGCGTAATTACGTAGAATACAAAATAACCTAAATTGACTGTCCATATCTGCCAAAAAATATGATTTGACATTTGTTAGTTTAGATTTGTTTAGCACGTATTTTTATTTATAGAACTAATACAAACAACATATTTGATATAATCATATATTTTTAAACACAACATATTGAATTACACATTATTGAACAATTTTATTGTATTAACTAGTAAACCTACACATTCTGAACAATTAAAATTTCAGCAGTCTTTTGGTAGTTAGCTAACATGCTACCAAACTGGAAAACAATTATAGATACAAGCTAATAAGGTATATATGCTATTTTATTAAAGAAGCAACTTAACTCAAATAATGATGTGAGCACTCTTTCCACTTGTCTGCAGGCTGTTGTGCAGCTGACTGCTGCCTGTGCACGAGCCGGTTGTCTGCTGTTGAAGTCTCACAATGCACTTTTGCAGCCAGGCGCACGTTGTTTTTGTGTCATTTAGAGGGAAAATGCGTGCATTTTAGCATTTGAGTCACTTTACAAAAGGAAAGTCCTTTCCCCGGTACAGCCTTTTCGAACCGTGCGCGTGCGCGTGTGTGATTGGCTGCACATTCAAACATAGCGGGTCGCACGTTGATTTCTTGATATTCCTTTCTGCCTCCAAACTTACAAAAAAAACCTTCATTCGTGAGAAAATAAGTTAAATCCATCAAGGGTTTAACTATTGTGGCCGGTGGTCATGTGTATAGTTATTAAATGACTTAAATAAAACATGTTTAATTCATATTGCAGTTAATAATCAAACATACTAACAATAACTAATATCTACAAACTACAATTCTAACACTTTGATCACACATATTAGAATTTCTACTGCTAGTCGTGCTCTTCTGCTTAAATTCCTAACACGTATCAACATTCATTTCATGAATTGTGGTTTGTAACAAGCTGTACACATTTA